GACACCAATGTAGTCGAAGCTGAAGACTTGTTGGAAGATGCAGTGGATGAAGATGAGGAAGAGGAATCCATCGATTTGACTTCAAGTCGTGGGTGGACTGCTGGTGAGGTCTATATGGATTCTCGTCTAAGTGGTTCAGCAGAAGGATTCACCTTCTTGAACTCTCGTTTAATGATGAACAATGGAAGATGTGCCTCTCCATTGGATTATTTCTTGTTCTTCCTTCCTGTAGATCATTTTTATTCCATTATCCACAACACCAACTTTCATGCAAGAAGTCTCGGCCATTGGGAAGATATTACCTTTCATGAATATCTCATGTGGATTGCACTCTTGACGGTAATAACTGTGGTCAGACATAATAATAGAAAGGCATATTGGAGACAAGACCAGTCTTTTTTCTTGATGGATATTGACTATAGTCAATATATGTCTTTTAACAGATTCAATGATATTATGAATATGTATATTTTTGAAATTCCTTCAAAGCAGGCTCAGGAACTTGACCCTCTTTATCAAATTAGGTCCACCATCCAAGCCTTTGTATCCTCATGTGGTGCCACTAGACTTACTAGTGAAAAAACTTTCAAGTCTTTTGACGGAAACCTAGTTACTATCAAGTGGCCGGAAGTAGTAGACGAATACGAAAGGCACAAAAGTAGGTACAATAGCTGCAATATAATGCATGTGTTGAAGTCAATTATTTCGCGGATGCTGCAAATAATATACGTGATAATCTGACCTCTTATCACGACATTATCCCAACCGAGAGATGAAAAATGCGCTTCTTTGGTTTCTTCTTGGGCCTTTGCGAAGCTAACGCATACAGTTCCTTCAGGGTCTTCTCTGAGGAAGGCGCCTCAAGGGGCCACTCGTCCTTTAAGGATAATTTGGCCTTCAACGTGCTTGAACATTGTAAGAAATTGAAATCGAGATATAATGAAGTGGCCCAAGACAGCAACCGAATGCTTATAAGTGATTCTAACCACTTCTACGTCTTAATGAGCAATGCAAACAACAAAAGAAAGAGATTGGTATGCCGTAAATACAAAGAAAGCGACACTAATGGCAAGCGGATCGAAAAATTTTGTAGCTGTGACCCCACAACCCCCTTGTACTTCGACTGTTATAATCAGCACTTGAAGACTGTCTGACTTCACCAGATTCATTAAAAATAATTCTTCATAACTTTGTCTACAATATATATATATATATATATTTTCAATAACAAAGCCTCAAGTTACTATATCACTTTATTGAACAAAGGGTCAGCCCAAATGGGCCGATTGATTTTTTTGAAAAACCAACCAGTTTCAAAACGATATGGCTATGAGGCAAAAGTGCTCACTTCTTTATAAAAACTCATCTATAGGCAGAATACATGTCTAATAATACGTGGTGAAATGGATAGCAGCAGTAAATGATTTTTTATCTAATCAAAATATTATTTTAGTCGGCCCAAATGGACCTATTGCCAAATCTGTACTTGTTAATAAAAAAAAAAAATGTTGCCGATCGTTAATTTAACATGACAAAGCTAACATAGCTACCTTTCCTTTTTCCTTTTTTCTTTACTTCAGCATGAAGCGAAGGAAAGACGATGACCCTCCGCCTCCAAAGGCAAAGTGCAATAAAGAGAAAGGTATGTAAGCTATAAAGTCGATATGTCATTTATTAAGGGTCCATTAGCCGTCGATCACGGGTTCCCTTCTTTGTTTTCACAAACGCAAACAAATTTATTCAAGAACACATCTTTTGAAGCAAGTGATGATGATTTTCAAGAAACACCATTGCTTAGAAAAGGTAAAGATAGCATCTATTAGCTCCAGCTGTTTTATAACGGATTGTTATAATAGGCAAGAACGTCCATACTATTTTGAAAGCTGCTAAAGAAGGCACATCTGCTCCTGGTCCCTCAGATGTTGTCATCAATGAAAATGCATCTATGCCCGTAGTCAACAAAGATACAAGTGCTCAAGCTGTCTCACCTGCTCCTATTCCTTACACTAGCTGTACTTCTGCTCCCACCAAGGCCTCTAAGAAATATCAAAGCAAGGTTGATAAAACTGAAGTACTTAAAAAGGAAAAAGAAAAGAACAAAGTGACAGGCAATGAGCAAAAACAAGTATGATGCCCTTCTTGTGGTGGAACCGGTCACTTTCGCTCCTCCAGCAAGATGTGTTTTATGAATAAGTCAAAAACGAAGCCTCCAAAGCCTAAAGATACCGTCGAGAAAACTTTTGTAATCAAGACATCTTTGGCTAATACCTGCAGATATCCCAAGTTCGTTACCTTGGAAGAATACTATAACTTATGTGGTTACAATCTTGCTACAAGAAGACGAAAAGAACACCAAGAATACCATTTAGACGAATTTAAGTATATTAATGAGTTACCTACTTTAAAAAACTGCAAGCTTAACCTCATTTTTACTAGCTGCCCCTACACGTCTACAAAACTATCAAAGAATTCACAACTACTACTGTCAAGGTAAGTGATATGTCGCTCCCTTACATGGTGTGCATTTTAATAACGCTGTGTACGGCATAGATCTCAAAAGCTAAAGTTCAAGACGTACATCAACAAGCAAAAAGGAACTCAAGAAATTGTTAAAAGACTCTTTGACAACAGCAAAAAGTATGGCACATCAAGTACAGTTGGCGCTAAAAACTAAAATCCAAACAAAAGCAAGCATGTGCCTCTACCTCCTGCTGACCTCCCTTCCTTCTCTCAACGGAAGCGAAACATTGCGTTCGGAATTGATTCTTTTTTTTCAAGTATGAAAGGCAAACGACCTGCACCTATTAATGAGGGAACCGAATTTGTTTCGGTTGACGAGTATTTAACGAGTCAGATCTGTAACAAGTGCAAACCCAGACAATTAAATAATACCTCCATTGCTGGATCAAAGCGAAGAGTACACTCTATCCTCAAGTGTGAATCTTGTGGTACGGTTTGGAATCGCGATGTGAACAGTGTATTAAACATATATGGTATCTTTGTTTACAAATCAAAACATGACAATGAAAATCCTCCCCCCTCCAAAAGACCTTCAAAAGACTAACGGTGTTCTTGGATTTAATGCGCTGTCCATAGCGGCAATGCATTCCTTAACACCTCGGTGAGTATAAAGCGAGTGATACATTATTTTTTATTCATTAGTCTTCTAGCTAGAACGCAACGAATACAAATACACACACTTTATTGAATAGCAGCAAAATAATAATAATAATAATAATAATAATAAATATATATACATAATGAACAATTGTCTAATCTACGACTGTAAGGCTTACATAATTACTTGGTATCATGCCTATATCCCCATTTGATTTCTTTGCTTGCCACCAACTGCCTTTCATTTCGTGTACATACATCACTTCTCCCTTTTGAAATGACAATTCATTTGGATCTGATTTATTTGCTTCATCTACTCAATGGTCAGTACACTGTCTAATTTAACCATCTTTAACTTACAGCTGTGAATAGCCTTTACAGGGATCGTATAATCTGCGTGTGGTGATAAATATACTGTATTCTGTGATTCGTTTGTTTGATAAACAGGCATAGGTGCCACTCTTTCTTGAACATGCATTGGAAGAGGATAGCTTGGCATGCTGTTGCCAAATGTGATCGAACTTGGCTCTTTTCTATATGAATTATTGATGTATACATGACTGTATTCATCCATGTCGTGGTCATATTCTTGTCTTTGTACTCCAAATTGAAAGATCCAAATAGCCTATACACAAACTTATGAATAATACTGACTTTTACTCTTATAATTGCTATTATTTACTTGAGTTACAATTAAAATGAAATAACCAGATGCTACTGCAATTAACGTAGGTGCCCTAGTCGCAACATTGATCGCTATTTCATTTATACTGTAAGATATACTGATGGATGTGAATGTCAGGACCTATATTAGATATCAGCCATTGATCTTATTTGTTGTTATTGTTGAATTACCACAGGATAATATGTCCTTGATGTGTTTGTCCAAAGCACAGCGCATGAAAAGGACACTAAAAATAACTCAAAGCCAATAATGTACCATGATATCGTTTGACTGATCGTACGAGCCATCAATAAACCTACAAAACTAATAAACCATCCAGCGATGGCAATCAAACAGACAAACACTTGAAAAAGAGTACAGTGCATTTATGATAAGAGAAAAGAAATGGAATGCCTTTGACTCTTTTTTTATATAAACTTATTTCAGTTTTGACCCCCTTTGAAAATAAAAAAACTTCTATATAAAAGAGACCCTTTATTAATCCCCCCCCTTTTCATTCTTTATCTTTTTGTTATCCTTAACTTTATCACCCATGATACCCTTTCCTTTTAATGACTATAAAGACTACGTGTACGCGAACACCTCGTGAGCTGTTTACAGTTTATGTAGAAATCAGACCAAAGACTTCTTAAAATGTTTGCAGTAAAATGACGTACGGTCAAACCAATAAGCACTTGTCTTTTTCCTCGCATTGGATTTATTAAACTCTTTTTGATTTGTTGTATGCAACTGATCACCTAGTCCGCATTTTAACATTCTATTGACCTTTTCGTTAGTTCTATTAATGCTCTTGTGGGTCGCCCTGATTAAGTCAATTAATGTACACGTTTGATTATAGTAAACAAAAGACCTTACCGCTCATCCCCTTAATATTGTATCCCCGTGTGGCTGATGACTCCATGACGCCTGCTATGTCTATATGAGCCCAAGGAGTATCTTTGTCAACAAACTCTTGCAAGAATCTTGCTGCAGCACATGACCCACCAGAACGAGTATGGCCGACGTTGCTTAGATCTGCTACTATGGATTCTTTCATATCACGAATATAGTCGTCATGAAGGGGCATACGCCAGAACGGATCAGACACGGTATCACCTGCTTCCTTTAGCTTTTTCCACAACTCATCTGAATTGGTAAATACACCAGTATAGGCTTGACCCAAGGCAACATCCATGGCTCCGGTCAGAGTAGCAAGGTCAATGATGTACTTGGGTTGATACTTGGATGAGATATAATGAAGAGCATCAGCCTATTTTGTACAGATATCAGTCAGTTACTCTATCTCTTTTCATCATTATAGGGTATACCAGGATCAGTCTTCCTTCTGCATCCGTGTTGAGGATCTCAATTGATTTGCCATTCATGGCTTTAATTACATCACCGGGTTTGGTCGCATTACCTGAAGGCATATTTTCGCATAAGGGGATGGCAGCAACAACGTTGACAGGCAGTCGCATCTCGGAAATTCCATAAAGCGCTCCTGCCACTGTCGCTGCGCCACCCATGTCGCCCTTCATGAGGGCCATGTTGGCTGATGGCTTGAGCGATATGCCACCCGAATCAAACGTGATGCCCTTTCCGACTAATGCATAGGGCTTCTCGCTCTTGTCCTTGGCTCCCTTGTAGCAAATTTCTAGAAATCTCAAGGGCTCGACACTATATTTGTGCTTAATGTCAGCAATTCACATTACTATGTGTGTCACTTGCCTTCCTTTTGCTACAGATAACAGAGCATTCATACTGTGACGACTTGCCCAATCTTCATCATAAACGTTGATATCAATATTTTCCAATCCGGCCAACAAATAGGCAACTTCTTCAGCAAATAATTTTGGTGTCATCAGATTTGAAGGTGAAGTCATGAGCATTCTTGCAATATTTTGTGAGACTCCATACACACGACCCTGCTCCCATTGCTTGGATACCTGTGAATCAGGCAAATAAGGTTCAATCACCATCTCTTCTTGCTTTTTTTCCTGCTTCAGTTTATCAAATCTAAATTGAGAGAGAACCGCGCCCTCGGCTGCTGCCTGAGCATCCACCGAGACATCGATACCTATGTGCTTGACACCTTGCTTCTGTAGTGTTTGAATACCTATCGCAGTCTAAAATCAGTTAGCATCTTTTTTATGGTCCATATTGTCCATGCATATATATATGTATTACAGCCATTCGAACTGTTTCCGTTCCCGCTTCTTCTTTCTTTCCTAGCGATACGACAGCAACTTGAGAGACACCTCCCAGATTATAGAATATTCGTACGTCGTGTTTCTTTTTGAATCGAGTCAATTTGAGTTGCTCTTCCAGAAATTGACGAGTCGCACTCGACGCATGTGGTGTGGTCAATTGACAGGGCTCTGTATATGCGCCAATCACGAGACTGTCAAAACTTTGCTTATTGGAGAAGAACCTTTTAAGTAACTGCTGAGGCTGTCGAAATGTGGATTGTCGTAAACAAGTCAACATTTGAAAAGTGTATGGAAAAAGGGGGAACTAAAAGAGGGACTGTGATTAAATTTCTACCTTGGGGGAGAGCTCAGTTTATGCAAAAGGTGCATAAATTTACTCATCCAAAAAAGAGTATTAAACCATTACCAAGGTAATAGCACTAAACGAATCCTTGTTTCAATCAAGTCATAGCAACTTCATTTTCACCAATCTATTGGTTTATCAGTGATGAAGTTTTTTTTTTCTTCAAAGGACGAAAGTGATTAAATGATGATACATCAACAAAATGACAGCAAATACAATAAATATCACATTCAACCCTCTATTCTTTCTTTTTCCTTCTTTTCTAGAGTGTTTATATGAACAATTTACAATCGAGTACGATACCTGAACAGCAAGAGTCTCTACTTTCACTTCTCCAAGCCAACGGAATGATGAATACCAACAATACGAATCTAGCAACCACTGAATCAATACATGATGTCGAATTCCTCGCGTACTTGGCTAATTTTTCAGAACTCTCATCGGACAACTCTATCTCATCAACCGAAGAAGAGAAGCGAAAGAGAAATCGCTCGACAAGGGTCGGTCATTGCGAGCATCCAAAACACGTGTTTTACCGCGAAGAACCGTTTGCCTTTGAACAAGGTCACCATTTGATCAAGACAATCCCCCGACGTGGACGACCACCCAAGGGGTCCAAGCCGGGAGACACAAAGCAAAAGAATGGGTATCGCATGGTCGCTCTTACCGTGCGATCGTTACCCAAGCGACTGGAAGCGGTCGTGGGTCAATCCAACATCAAGGTTTGCCTGACGTGCTTAAAGAAATCGGACATGGATCCAGAGTATCTTGCAAGTGAAAGCTACATCGCTCCCCAACAACTGCTTAGACGTCAAAAAAGGAAATAAATAAGGTTTTTTTATTCTCTGTTGGCCGTTTCACTCGATGCAGGCAGCATGATGCCCTGAAAGTTGACCACAGGAGGCACCAGTCGTTCCTGACTAGGATTTCTTCCTTCTGTGTAAGAGTAAGGCGGATGTCGATTTGAAAGTAAGGACACTGTCGATGATCGTCGTTGGATAGTGGTCGACGGCCGTGTTGAGTTCGGCATGGATTGTGGAGTTTCTGGTTCTATCTCTTCCTCTTCTTCTTCTTCTTCTCCAAGTTCTGGTGGTTGTATCCATTCCCATGGTACAACACACGGGAACATGGTGCCCAATTTAGCTGCTCGGTTAATCCATGCTGGTGTCCTTTTCTGTGTGAGTCTATAGACAAATTCTTCGGTAAAATGATTACAATTCCTCATCAAGAGGTTGTAGGATGGACCTGTAAACTCGTCAGAAATGGCTGTTAGCGCCTCCTCAAACTCCTTGTCTGTTAGTCGCATGGGCCCCATATCGATGGTACGCCTAATAAGAGGGGTGAATATTATCACTTGATCATGTATATCTTTCTTTACTTTAAGATAAGTTCGGGTATGCCAATCTTGGGTTCAACAACAAAGACTCCAGTGACATTGCTCATAGCGTGCCCTCCAAAGCAATACTCCTTTCCGTTAATTTCTACTCCTGAATGAAAGATGCCTGTTGTTCTGCACATGAGACTTTTTTCGTTTGTAATATTTGAATAAATAGACGTTACCTAGCCCAAAAGCATAATAACCAATATTTGTAATATAGTTAGGTTGAAGCTACATGGTGATTAACATTTGAACAAGAGTTATTATGTCTTTATGTACCATGTCGTATACATTTACATAGACTAGCACATAAGGAATCAATGGGTAATTAAGCTACATTTAAAAAAAGCAAAGTATACCATGAGGTCTTAACTGGTCTGATTCGGTTTGAATAGAGTTATAAAATCCATTCTTTATAAAGTCAAGCATTATTTTATTTAGAAAAGAAAAGAAAAGAAAAATGAAAAAAAGACTGGCTGGTAGCAATGATTGTCAATGTTTGATAAGTGTGAGTACTTTACAAAAATGTCATTTTTACACCCCTTTTTTTGTGTTTGCTATCTTACCTCTTCTTTTTATTGTTTGACCCCATGCTTAAATAAGAAATGGATATGCAGCATTTATTCCAAAAGATATTGGAGCGGATGAAAATGTTCCTTATTGTCCCCCTAACGCACCTTTTTATGATAAAAAGTGCTGATTTTAGAGGAATAAGGAAGTACTACCGCGCGTATGTGGTTGTGTTGATAATCTTATGTCAGTTATTGTAATGTTCAGGGTGTACTTCCTTATTCCTTGTCGTCTAAGTTTTGCGGCGTTTAGCGTGACCACGCCCACTAGATGGTTCGGAGCGGATTGGGTGATCACCATAGCAACTGTTATTTGATTCCAATAGCTCATGTATTTTCGTTGGTTTCCTTGACTGTTCCGAGTTTAGGGATCTATTGCCACCTTTCAAGTGGTGTATACAACCCAATAGGTCATTCAAAAGCTATATCGAGCATGAATTCTCCGACAATGGCGTTTTCTTTTTGTTTTTTCTTACTTTTTGTTGTGTGGCAGCAACTTGCCTTAGATAGAGTACTTCATTTGTGGTAGATTCAAGCTTCAGTTCGATCTGCTCAGTGGTGCTTTTTAATTGAAGAATGACATCTTCAAGTGCTTTGTTTTCATTCATTTGCACATTGTTGGTATAACTTGTGTTGTAGATTAATGATCCAGTCGTTGGATCTTCCGGAGTATTGCCACACGAACTACTGCTATTAGACGATTCACAGCCTGTGTTAGCAATGCGATGTCGAGGTGATTTTCGTCTAATCTTGTGTAAACGATCTCTTCCATGACGCATAAAGTAAGGATGCTTGAAATCCCATCTTTGTTGTTCATTGTTGCTTTTAGGAGATTTATCTCCTTCTGAGTTATTTTCGTTGATTTTATGAAAATCGTACACTAAAGATACGTTAGAAAGAAACGATAAGAATATTACGGATTATTACTTTACTGTTCAATTGTCTTACAAAACTAGACCAGTTGCAGTGTTTAAAATAACGAGGCAAGACCTTATTGGAGAATTCGACATTATTAAAGATTGTAAATTTATCTCCAGATCCGGTCCAAGTAATCAAATGAGCCGTACTCTCCTCCTCTACCATACTGTTAAATGTTAAAAGAGCGCTCGTAGAAAATAGTTTGTTTACTTGCTTGTATAATTTCGTAATGAATGCCGCGTTTTTTGTTGGAGTCACTCTAAAGAATTGTTCAATGTAACCGTGTTTGCCTGAAAGTTTTTGTTCTGTCCCTTCGACGAAATGGTCAGACATGGCAATGGACCTGATTGGTTACCCAGTTAAAAAAAATAAAAGAGAGTGGAAAAAAGAAAGAGAAAAATGATTTACCGATTTAATATGAAATGCAACTTCTTTTTGTGGGTCTATATTATTACTAAATATGGATGATATCCCTATTACTTTTTAAAGTGAAAAGGCTAAGGAGAGAGACGAGCGGGAGAAGATAGAAAAGGAGGAAAAGTGGGGAAAAAAACAAAATACAAAAAACTTTTTCTTGTTTTCTCAAAAAAGGATATATTGCCATGATGATAAATGGAAATTCCCATTGTCTAGGATATTTTTAAAAGATTGCGGGTTTTTCTGTTCTTTTTTATATAAATCAAGATTTGTGTAACGACCCAGTATTTAGGTAAGGAAAGAAAAAAAAAGGAACTACAATTTAAAGTAACCAATTGAACCATATGGCGCTGTCGGCTGTTAAAAACGAATTCATCTGAGTTTATCCATCGGTGTAGAAACGCACTAGACCGAGCTTCTAGATGGTTCGTAATACTTTTTCCTTCGTAGTGCCTCCAGTAACCATGGATACAAAATAGTACATTAATGTAAAAAAATAAAGAGCTGAAAGAGCACTGAAGTACATGTTAGGAGGATTACGCATAACTCAAATATTGAGAACGAATCCATGCAGAAGAACTTGACTTGTCATTCTTTAAAAAGATATAAAAAAAGGAGTGATACATGTACATTTTAATATAAAAAATGTTCGAAATAAACAAATAAACTCGGAAAGATTTTGTTCCTTGGAATTATTGTTTTTTCTGAAGATTTCTAAATGACGAAAGGGGAATAAAGAAGCCTGTTTCCACAGTAAAATGTAACTAGCGCAAACTTTATCTTTACGGAGATACTTTATTTGGTAGAAAAAGCCTAATGTAAAGAGCCCCTTATCATTTTTTTCTTCTCCATGAAAATACTCTACATCAATTTTCTTCGATCAATGATATCAAATGAAACTGTCGATCTTTCTAAAATGCCGTTGCTTGTGCTATGTAAGCGAGTACCCCCTTTATACAGTTCCAGTTGTAAATAATACTAAAAAAGAGCACGCTCTGGGATCGTCGTTATGTTATAAACACATAAATATTGCTTTAAAGAAAAAGTCAAAACGTGCATGTGGTAATTAAAACGGTAATGTTTTTGATATTGCTTAAAGAGTGTCTGTTTATTGTGGTAAACATTGATTCATAACAAAAAGGCAAACTTGTAACAGCTGATTTCATATATCCTCTTTTCAAAGACAAGAGGTGGTACTGTATTCTTCTTGCTTTTGTCCTTTAATTCATTCAAATTAAAAAGTATAAGGGCTATAATATATACAAGACTGTTGTTCTGCAAATGACATAGCTACAATCGTTCAGTGTACTATTTTTGGTAACAGTATTGGATCGTAAAAACATGTACTACATAAGAGAGCACCTGCTTTTTTAGGTATATATCCGACATTTTTCTAAGCTATTGGTCATCATCATGTGATCCTTGACCTCTTTCAGAAAGCAAAAAATAAGGGCGTGCCTATGTACTATAAAACATTTTGGTGCAAGAGTAATAATTCGAACTCTAGGAAAAAACAAAAAGGAGATGAGATAATATGCAATTAATTTAGAGACAAGGCAGGAACTGTTCTGTATTCAAATCATACCCAGTTTTAGGTAAAACGACGCCTAACTTTTTTAATCAGCTCTATAATAGATGATTACTTGTTTCGATCATATTATAAAAATACTTGTTTGCAAGTGATAAACTAAAGATCTTACGCGTAAATCACTTGATAAGCTTATACTCTGAATAGTGCCTTTTTTGTTCAAGTAGTATTGTATAAATTAAGGAATATTCTAAAGACATATCGTAAACCATTTCCAAAAAGCAATATACTATGTCCAATAGAAATTCTCGGCAAGCAGTAGAAGTTTTTGATCATCCATAGAAATGTTCGATCACCAATACATACATCATATAAACAATATAAATAACACTTCTAACAAAAATAGATTTACTAACTGTACACCTATATTATACAGATATAACTGATGAAAAGAAGCCTTCTGACTATATTACCTCATCATGGTTATCTCCTGCGTTGAAAGGAAAGGAAAACGTGAAAAGCTTGACAGTTACGCATTACGTAGACCAATGGAAATAAAAGCCAACATTAACAATCCTGAATATGATGATCGATATAGCATAAAGTCTGTTATTAGTTGTATTATTGCTGGAGTGCAAGCCATATCAACAACAGTTGATTTCTGCATGCGACTGGTCAACATTAATTCTGCTCATACTCTGAATATCACAGTCATGTTTACAAGTTGGATACTGTTTTGCCACGTTATCCTTACTTTATTGGCACCAGTGTATTATAAAAGGTCCGGTGTGTATCCACCAGTTATAGATTTAGCAAAATACTGTACCATTGACGAAAAGGCAGTTACGAAAACAAGGGTCACTATCGCAAACTTCATTCTCTATCGTAGTCGCAAGCTATGACTAACGCTGCTTTGCCTCCCTATTGTTGTCATGTTGGCCATTCTTCTTTTTGTCAACAGAGATAACATATTCCTGTGTGTGCTGCGTGCTATTCGGACCACATTACTACTGGTTTCTGCTATTGCGCATTTTGTTGTTCACATTCGGACCTTTAGAGTCACGTTAGGTTTCCTTATATCTGTGTCGATTTTCTTTCTAATAACCAAGAGTTGCTTTGTAATAACGGTAGAGCAGAGATATATTGATACAGCCAGCTGACTGTCTCGCTTTTAATAAATCCCTTCATTATGGATAAATTCTTCATCTGTAACGTCTAAGCTATTTATTTCATGCTTGAAATACGAAATACTAACCATTGAATTACAAACTCGCGCATTCCTTAAAGCCTTAAAGAATAGGTATTGATTACTATGATCAGAATTACTTTCGAGATAGATTTTTGAATGGATAGTCAAAAGAGCATACATACCCAACCAAGCGGAGATTTTAATAGTTGAAGCAAGTGTTACCGCTCAATGTGAAAGGGTCTTCTCTTCTATTTTCATGCTGAGTTTTTCACTAAAGCAACTTTGGAACAGTATCACACTGTGGATATGGACAGGTTTCGCATTTTTTACACTAGTTTTCATGCTGGACTCTTCATTATCACAAAAGCTAAACATCTTTCAGACACAAAGAAAAGCAATGCACAGTTGTGACATGACTTACATTTACCCAACCTACATTCGAGTTGAACATCAGCCAAAGACGACCTTTTCCAAAAAGTATACGCTTTATCTCTACCGAGAAGGCTTTGTTGATTCTGAGCAAGTAAGTAAATGTCCATAACGGCTGTCTTCACACTTTTCTAAAGTGACAAAAGCTAGTAGGCGTACCTGTTTTATTCATACCTGGGCAAGCAGGAAGTTATAAGCAAGTAAGGTCATTGGCATCAGAAAGCTCAAAATATTCTCGTACGCAAAAGAATGTGCAGGATTTGGATTGGTTTACGCGTAAGAGGGTCTTTGTTATTTACGCTAACAGTATGTTGTTAACACTCGGTTCCTATGTGTGTAGTCGATCTGAATGAAGAATTAACTGCATTTTCTGGCCAACATGTCTTGGATCAAGCGAATTATGTCAATACTGCTATTCAAACAATACTCAATCTATATCATGGTCGAGTGGATTCGGTGATCATTGTCGGACATTCAATGGGTGGTATTGTTGCTAGGACCTTGATGAGGTTGCCAAATTATGCTCCCAATAGTGTTCGTACCATCTTGACATTAGCGACGCCACACACTAGTGCGCCTGTTTTACTGGATCCAGTTCTTTACAGATTATACCAAGATCTATCTCGGTTTTGGGAACCAAATCAGTTTACAAAGGAGGGAAAACTCAGGAACGTGACATTAGTCTCTATCGCAGGTGGATCGTTAGATAACATTGTTCATTCAGATAGCACAGGCGTTCACAGCATTGTGCCTGAATCGCATGGATTCGCAATCTTTTCGACATCCATACCCTTTGTATGGACAGAGTCAGACCATATGGCTATTCTGTGGTGCAATCAATTAATCAAGCGACTGGCAGCAACATTAGTAAATATACATGATCCTACCATGTCTGTTCATGATCGTATGGACGTATTCAATCAGCATTTGCTGGAAACAAAGTCAAGTAACTTGGTGACCCATCACTGTAAGTGTGTAATACTATATATATGTGTATATAGTCTCATCATAGGATGCAGCCTTTTCAATGCCACAGCATGTTCAAGTGATGAATATGACAGGAAACGGTAGCCATCTCTTTTTTACAAATACGAATCAACCACGACTCACAGTTGTTAAATACTCTGAAAGCTTAAAGTTACTTACAGATGTGCCTGAAGAAAGCGACCATCACTGGTTACTGGTGTCTTGTAAAAAAGCCATGGATGACTGGTCATGCCAGCCATTGAACGATGTGTTGGTAACGATACTTCCTTCTGCTAGTGCACCTACTGGATCCTACAGGTCTTTCACTCTGTCTTCTTCAAAGCCAATTGAATATGTCGGTATTTTGGAACAGACCAAGATTACCTTACAAGATAACAATGATGTTCCATTCTTTATCATTTATAATGATGAAGCAACTGTACATTGGTCAAGCACTTGGGGTATATATCTTTTTTTTTTTATTGAACCCTGGCTTATTTTATATTCTAGATATTGTGATGCGCCAAAAAGAGCCTTTATTGATAGCTAAAAAATACGTTTCAAGGCACGTGTTTCCTCGACTACGCAGTTCCTTGTTCGCCTATGATCTGCATCTCAAATCATCCAAGCCTGGAGCAGGATTGATTCCACTCATGGTACGGCAAACAGTCAATGGCCAAGAACCTAAGTACTATAGACAGATGAAGGAAAACGAATCCGTTAGGGCTACGTTTCATCAAGCTACAGGCGATGGTGAAGGTTTAGCCTTTAGCTTTTACACGGATAATCAGGCAGTGGAACTTGTCATGCGTTTTGATTGGTATGCTACTCTTGGTCGTTGCTTACTCCGATATGGATCAGTGATGCTTAATTTCATGTATGTTTGTACGCTGATTATGCTGATAAACCAATGCTCTACCTATGTACATATCGGAAGCCGTAAGTACCACATGAGCTATTGAAATGTCATGATCTAAGTAATATCTTGAAATAGGTAAATTTGTGTCCTATAAGGCAGCCTTACTGGGCTGTATGAGGTCAGATTTTATACACATTATGGCGTTACTGCTCTTTTTGAGCTCATACCAGTATTTTGCAAGATCACATCAATTGATGATGACAAGCTATCTACCCTTATACAGTGCAATAACCAAGGACATGTTCTTTGGAAATGACGATCCCATATTTATTCTCGTGACAGTATTTCTATTTATGCTGAGTGTTGGTCTAACAGCTATCGTCTGGCTTCTCATATCTTTTTTAACGGCTTTACTGAGCAAATTGATTAAATGTATGTACCAAGTCATTTCTGTAAATACAACATCACAGACATCATCTTGGAGACATTTTTTCATACACGCGTCAATCGTGCTCGCCCTTGTGCGGCTTGTACCCACATCTGTACTAATCACCATATACTACATCATTTGGCTTATAATGACAGCTACCTCTCATACAAGTTCTGTAAGTAAAAGCAATTCATATTTTACTATGACGTACTTATTTATGCTACTAACCATACAGAATTTACCTTCTCCTCAAAACACGTACAGATATCGTCAATCATGGCTTATGTTTTTAACATCCCTGCTGCCCTATCACATACCAGGTACCATTGTTTATATAAAGAATATTTTAGCAGGTTGGACACGTCCGACACAGCCACTATGGTTAATCATGCAACAACTTCCAACCGTTTTTATCTTGATCTACTTGGTTACCTTGGGTAATCAACCCAAAACAATGTCTCTTAGGTAACAAAAAACAAGTTTATGACATTGAGTCTAACAAAGTTATAGATGGTTAGCATTCGGTAGATACGCTCTTTACGGCATCATTATGCATCAGCTCCTGTTTGGTTTTAGACACCCCTTTATTATACCCATTGGTTTTTTTAAATAGAAAGTCTGAATAAAGAGGCTATGACAAGCGATGGTTATGATTTTATTACTACTTTTTGTGAAAAACAAAAAACAGACTCCTTAGACAGAGGCAAGGATAGGGGGTTCGACAAATTCCTTGGCAGCCTTAGCACCAGTATCATCAGCGGCAGCAGCAGCACCACCGTGAAGAGCCAAGAGAGCAGAGACATCGAACTTGGGAGCCTTGAGGATCTTGACCTTGCGGATGTAGGTGTTTTGGAGAGGGTAGATACCTTGACAAGCCTTTTCAATGCGGACGGCAATAGCATCTTGAGAAAAGTTGGAGGCAGAGCTAGTGACCTTGGCGACCAATTCCTTGAGGTCACAAGCAGTGGCTTCCTCAGTCATGATTTCAAACATCTTCTTGCGGATTTGACGGATTTGAGAAGATTGGGCATAAGTGGTCTTCTTGATTTGGTTGCGGCGACGAGCAGTGAAGGAGATGGCAAAGAGACGAACCAAGTAACCATCAGTGGTCTTGATGTCAACAAAGGCTTCAATAAGAGATTGCCACTTCTTGACCATAGAACGAAGCTTGTCGGTGGTCATGTCCATACCGTAAAAGTTGGTAAGACAGTTCTTGCCTTGGATTTCATCAACCTTGAGCTTGATCTTACGGAAGGCACGGCCTTCATCCTTGGACAAGTCACCGAGAGAGACTTCGACGACACGACCGTTCAAGGAGTCGTTGGCGTTACGGAGACCTTGAGTACGGTTGACCAAGGTCTTACCGACTTGACGAACTTCGAACATGGAAGGAGCCTTGATATCATACCAGTCCTTACGGGTGAAGGGGTCAACACTACATGATGAATGAGTATGGTTGTCATGACAAATGAAAGAAAGAGAGATAATTGAAGAGAAAATGTCGTGTCTGTTTATCTGTAAAAATGTTAAGTTGTTGTGTATAATGTTGTTATTGTTGTATACATATCAATTAAGTTCAATGATGAGCATGTGTTTACTCTCTCCCTCTTCATTTTTTCTCGCATAGTGTAAGATTCTACAATCCAATTTCTCGGCTGCACTTTGTATCTCTTTGTCGTTCTCCCTTTCCCCACTTTCTCTTCAATAATATCTCTCTCTCTTTCTTGTGTGTGTGTGTGCATATCTATGCATGTTGATTACTTACACCTTCTTCTTCAAACCTTTCTTTCCCTTAGAAAGACGCCTTTACAAAAAAAATGTCAATTCATGATCAATCAGTGTTTATGGATATTTGTATAGTATTTACTTATTCTTGCCGACAGCTATAATAAAAGACGATATGGTTTAGTAAATGGATGGATGGATGCATCGATGTTTATGACATACCCATATTATCGATTAAAAAGAAGGATCATTAGGTTGCCTATATGGCTCTCTGTTATGTGCTCCACGCAGCGAGGACCAAAGACTCAGTAGGCTGGAGCGGGTGTGACTTTTTTTCAGCCCGCAACAAGTTTAGTGCGGTGGCTTGTTAGTTATCATGCAGCGCTATGAATGAGGCCATATCAAATGTAGTCATAGCTCGTTTTCTGTCACTATGAGTGTTCCATACAACGATGTATGGGTGTTTTATTGATAAATCAGACTGCATACAAGGAGAAAGAAAAATAGTTAAGATTAAAAAAGAGAGGGAAATGAACTATGAGTCAATGATGAGTTAGTCTTGATTTACTGTGAGGTTAAGCAAAAACATAAGCTTGGCTTATAAAGACTTGTTGCGCATGTTGATACTATACGAAAGGTTAATGTTGCGAATGAAAAACAAGCTAGACATCTGTATCCAAATAGTCTGTATATATGATGTCTTAAAGCAGATCTGCCTCTTCTACTAACTAAATTTCAAGTATCATACAAAAGGGACTTTTACAATTGACTGACATAACAGATTTCGTTGATGTGATCTACTCGAGAAAGCAGAGGACCAATGTCCATGTCTTATTTCTAATAAGCAAGACTCATACAGCTGAATTAGATATTTGAAAAATAAAGTGGCGTCTTGATTTAATTCCCTTAGTTCGGTCAAACATATTAGTATGGCTAGCTGCTTAATGGTAAAAGGATTGTCTTCTCCAACTAGGGTGCCCTTTTTATTATTTCCACATATGTATTTCCATATGATTCATCTACTCAGAAATACTAGAAATATGTTTAATTCCACCATCAATAGAATAAAAAAAAAGCTTGATTTTTAGTTATCTTCTTGAAATGTGCTAAGCTTTTCCTATAATGGCTGCAAAACGACTCTCAACCAAGGAAGAGCCACCAAAAAAGCAAATCATAAAGATTGTAAAATCATTGTCAGAGACCCACTCATAAATTAAAATTCCGAATAGCTTACTTTTTTTATTTCCTGTGGAAACGCGTCGAAACTTTTTCTTTTTCTTCTTGTTTGTGAACAAATTTAAAAAATGTCTCTTCATCCTACTGTGCTTTGGGCCGAAAGAAATGACTTGCTCTACTTGACTGTTGATCTCTCAGACATTAAAGTGAGTTAACCATGTCCTTTTTGATTCCTGAAACTAAAAAGTAAAGATAGGACCAAAAAGTTGATTTGACAGAGACCAAGTTGTCATTCAAAGCCAAAGGTGGTGTAGAACAAAAGGAGTATGCATTTGATATTGAATTTTTAAAGCCTGTTAAGGTTGAGGTAAGAGCACTCTAGTTGTAAGGTGTCAAAATATTTAGGTTGGGGATATTATAGGATGCAAAGCAACATCTGACTCCACGCAACTTATTTTTGGTTATCTACAAGAAAGAGGAAGGATATTGGAATAAGATCTCAAAGGATCGCCTTCGCTTTGTTCAAACAGATTTCCAACGATGGAAAGATGAGGATGATGAAGAAGAGGATATGGGTGACCCAATGGGTGGATTAGACTTTCAAAGTTTAATGGCTCAGGCTGGTTCAAGTGGAGGATTACCAAATATGGATGATTTGGTAAGACACACAAACAAGTAAGAGTATAATTATTGACCATTTCTTGTTTCTTTATAAAATAGCCTGAAGGAGATGACAGCGATGATGAATTTGAAGAAGATGAACAAAAGGAAGTGCAAGAAGAAAAGAAGGATTAAACTGAGTTTTTATTCGTCTAACTATAAGACTAATGAATAAAAAATAATGTATCACTCGCTTTATACTCACCGAGGTGTTAAGGAATGCATTGCCGCTATGGACAGCGCATTAAATCCAAGAACACCGTTAGTCTTTTGAAGGTCTTTTGGAGGGGGGAGGATTTTCATTGTCATGTTTTGATTTGTAAACAAAGATACCATATATGTTTAATACACTGTTCACATCGCGATTCCAAACCGTACCACAAGATTCACACTTGAGGATAGAGTGTACTCTTCGCTTTGATCCAGCAATGGAGGTATTATTTAATTGTCTGGGTTTGCACTTGTTACAGATCTGACTCGTTAAATACTCGTCAACCGAAACAAATTCGGTTCCCTCATTAATAGGTGCAGGTCGTTTGCCTTTCATACTTGAAAAAAAAGAATCAATTCCGAACGCAATGTTTCGCTTCCGTTGAGAGAAGGAAGGGAGGTCAGCAGGAGGTAGAGGCACATGCTTGCTTTTGTTTGGATTTTAGTTTTTAGCGCCAACTGTACTTGATGTGCCATACTTTTTGCTGTTGTCAAAGAGTCTTTTAACAATTTCTTGAGTTCCTTTTTGCTTGTTGATGTACGTCTTGAACTTTAGCTTTTGAGATCTATGCCGTACACAGCGTTATTAAAATGCACACCATGTAAGGGAGCGACATATCACTTACCTTGACAGTAGTAGTTGTGAATTCTTTGATAGTTTTGTAGACGTGTAGGGGCAGCTAGTAAAAATGAGGTTAAGCTTGCAGTTTTTTAAAGTAGGTAACTCATTAATATACTTAAATTCGTCTAAATGGTATTCTTGGTGTTCTTTTCGTCTTCTTGTAGCAAGATTGTAACCACATAAGTTATAGTATTCTTCCAAGGTAACGAACTTGGGATATCTGCAGGTATTAGCCAAAGATGTCTTGATTACAAAAGTTTTCTCGACGGTATCTTTAGGCTTTGGAGGCTTCGTTTTTGACTTATTCATAAAACACATCTTGCTGGAGGAGCGAAAGTGACCGGTTCCACCACAAGAAGGGCATCATACTTGTTTTTGCTCATTGCCTGTCACTTTGTTCTTTTCTTTTTCCTTTTTAAGTACTTCAGTTTTATCAACCTTGCTTTGATATTTCTTAGAGGCCTTGGTGGGAGCAGAAGTACAGCTAGTGTAAGGAATAGGAGCAGGTGAGACAGCTTGAGCACTTGTATCTTTGTTGACTACGGGCATAGATGCATTTTCATTGATGACAACATCTGAGGGACCAGGAGCAGATGTGCCTTCTTTAGCAGCTTTCAAAATAGTATGGACGTTCTTGCCTATTATAACAATCCGTTATAAAACAGCTGGAGCTAATAGATGCTATCTTTACCTTTTCTAAGCAATGGTGTTTCTTGAAAATCATCATCACTTGCTTCAAAAGATGTGTTCTTGAATAAATTTGTTTGCGTTTGTGAAAACAAAGAAGGGAACCCGTGATCGACGGCTAATGGACCCTTAATAAATGACATATCGACTTTATAGCTTACATACCTTTCTCTTTATTGCACTTTGCCTTTGGAGGCGGAGGGTCATCGTCTTTCCTTCGCTTCATGCTGAAGTAAAGAAAAAAGGAAAAAGGAAAGGTAGCTATGTTAGCTTTGTCATGTTAAATTAACGATCGGCAACATTTTTTTTTATTAATTAATCATGTTTTCTTTAATGATAAAATGTTGGAATGAAAAGCGCTCCACTTTTAGCACATTGTACATTTTACTATGGTCTTCAAAGTAGTTATCTTTATAAAAGCGATAGAATAAGGATACTAAAATGGCAAAAGATGACCATAGATCATCATAACTATCAGGAACAGTGGTCGAAGAAGTAAGAGTAAAGAAGGAAGAGGAGAGAAATAGACTTCAATGCTATTCGAATACCTCATGAAGGAATAACAGTACGTAATTCCTACACACGTATGCAGCATGTGTCTGGCTGATACGTTGAAAGTACTTTTCAAAATCTGTCCTTGACAGAGACTATCATTTCTACCGCTGCTTCCCAAGGCAAGAACGATGCCACGGAAGCTTCTGTCAATATGCTTAATAGGAATAGCCGCGGTAACTTCTTCCATTGTTGGCAGGTTGTGAGTGCGTCCATCGCCTCCTTCAATCAAATGCATCCTCATTGATGAACCGATGATAATATAATGTGATCCGCTTTCGACAAAGCCATTGTTATTAGATCTCGCCTCGCTGTTGATGCTGGAATTCTCATGGTTGCTCAATAACTCATATGCATGATGATAAATGCGTGCGAAGGGATTGCATTGGGCAAGCACAGTTGAAAGGTTTTCTATAACCTCATTGTCCAGATTTTCATTTCATGTGACCCGAAAGGGCCTTTCCCCAAGCCAACGAACAGCTCCAGTCACTCTACAGTTGATACCAGAGATTAGCCGCATTACCTTTGGGCCTCGCGACGATCTATCTACCTTGGGATTTCAGATGTCAGCATTTAATAGATTTGACAACGCCTCCTTTTGGATACCCTCATGTGCTCATTGGACAATCCCAAACTCTACGCAGAAATCCAATACAGTACCTATTCCGATTGTCGAAGCATCTCCTGGTCAGCTCCGTTTTTTATGGCACAAAGGCTTCGATCTGCTAATACAACTATATCATCCGCCTTTGACCCTACCTCATTCGCTGCTTCTTCAATTCCAGTACTGGCAAACTTTTTGGTTCCTGATGATACCTCCCAAGGTCTTCACACCATGGTTTCGCCTGCTATATGGCTATATCCCAACGGCTGCTTTACAGCATGCTTGGAATCCCAGTGTGACCGTCTCTACATTGTATAGACTCTGCCAACAAGACACTGAGACAAGCTTCGATCTCTTTGTGAATTGCCCTCTCAAGTTCAATTTTTAGTTCTCAATCTTCGAGAGATATTCTCTGCCGAACAACTTCTCTATTGCAGATGAAATATGGTCTGTGTTCACTTCTTTTGTCCCAGCAGACGAGCAAACAACAGTCGATACGGGCGTTCTCTGTTTCTTTGGCGCGAGTATCGCAACAATTTGGAAATACCACTGGCGTTGCGTGTTCGATGACACTCCGTGGTATACAACTGCAGTCGTTCATAGCTTCGGATTGAAACATGGCGGATTCCTGTCGTCATTGCCTTTTGAACGGAAGTTATCTTCCACTATAGAACTATAATTTATTAAAAATTTTTGTTGAATAAGTCCACACTATCATATTATATATATATATTAGAATGATTGGAATGATAGTGTTATTGAGGTAATATATTAATATTTGAGATTGCTTTAGCTTGTGTATGAAATATATATTGTTTATTTGATGATAAAGGGTGTAATCACCTTCGATATAAGAGTAGAAATACGACAGTCATCCATAACAGCAACAGCTTCTACAAATCTTGGACATAAATCACCAACAAATGAAATGATTTGCGTTTCGTCATTTGTTGGTATTATCATCTTGCTGCCATGCTGATACAACACGTATTGGTTCGTATTGCAAAAACAAGTTGATGTAGCAAGGAAGAGGGTGAACTAGGTTATCTTTCATTGTGACAGCTCCGTTGTTGTTGCTGTAAAATTCGCTCTTCTCAATTTTTTGAACAAACAGAAATATTACTTGACTAATGAGAACTGGTCAGTCGCGTTACATGCTGACAACATGTATTGCTGTCAGTCTCTTTATATAATTCATTCTTGGAATATAGATTTATAGTAATCTCATACGACAAGATTAAGTATTTGTAGGGTAAATACGGCAACGGCATATCAATAAAGAAGTAGCACAAATCCTTGGCACATATCCTAGCTTCCTTCACTTCAGCGCACTGGTTTGCCATTAACTCTATGGACATTTTTCTGAATGAGACGAATAGTGCCAGTAATATATGTATACAAAAGCAATGACATATATGAGTAAGCCTTTGTTAAATACAGTATCTTTTCTGCTTAGATTAAAAAGTAGATACACTGCTTTGAATGAGAAAAATATATGATGATTTGGATATTGATATGATCTATTACTGTCGTCATTTCTTAGATAAACATGTCAATAGCGTGATCTTATGGTCAGAATGCAGATATGAAGTGATAAGGACATTGTATAGGATTGTGTCTATAAGAGAGGGGGAGCAAATGAAGGAATAGTACAATAAAAGAAGGGGGGTGGATGTTATTAAAATAAAAAAGTATTTTACACGATGTTAACTACAGGTATTGCAAAGCAACCTTATGAACGACTTCGTTTGTCAGCAGCAATTTTTTCGGCCATCATAGCAACAATAGCTGCACCGACGATTCGTGAGTGTTTCACAACGCCTACTGACAATTTACAAGCTATTTCTTCAGGTATAAGTTCTTTAATCGTTCTACACACACGCGGATGAAAGGAAGGGTAATCTTCGTATATGCTACCACTTATAGCTAAGGTAGAGATTATTAATGGGATGAATTTATAAGCGATGGTGATACTTACAAATTGCGTAACCTTGATCAGTCATGCCTATTCCTCTTTCTACCATATGCTGCACTATAGCCGCAATGGATGCCCCCACTAATTGAGCTGCTCTCATGCCAACCAACTCACACACTTTTTTCACGACTTCTCTATCACCCATCGTCGTCTTTGATAAATCGAGCATATCTTCTAGAATGATTCGAGTGTCTTCTAGACTATCAGAATCATCTGCTTCACAAACATACATGTAGCTCGTGTCAAAGCTATGCACTGTATTGAGCACTTCTGACGACTCTCCGCCAAATAAGACATCTCGATCCACAAGATATATGATGATATTTCTTACTAATTCACCCAAGAAGATGCCCGTCGTCATCTTTTCAAACACATGAAACTGTGGATTGATAGATTCTCTAGATAACTTTCGATCAAACCAAGTGCATGGTAAAGTACGTTTTGATGATCCAAAATTACACCATTCTGTATTCATTATCATATCTGTGTCCTTTGTTATACTTTGATCTCTAAGCTTCGTCACATTCTTTACAGGCTCATAGTAGGCACAGTTCGTCCCCAGGCTATGAACGATACCTATGCGAGTGGTTGGGTGTTGATAAGCGTGTGCTAGTAGAGTGCAAACAGAATCTAATACATCAAAACTTAAAAGTATGAATCACTTATAAAATCTAAAGTCATCTTTGGTTTTACCATTGGCGATTGCCACTATTTTTATAGGTAATCCTTTTCTACGCATACGTTCATGCATCAATTCAACAATGTCTACGCCGACACCATTAGGATAGCTAAGGCCATATCCCAGTGATAATATTCGACCTGTGTTGAGACGTGTTTGTTTTATGGCGAATCCAAATGAAACTGCCATTGGATATATGAATAGGTCTTGAGTGCCAACCCGAGTTAAAAAATCTGATATACATTCGACAATATAATCAATGAGTACTGCAAAATCATCTCCACTAGCTAAATCTTGGGGTATTTTGTATTGAAATTGATTAATAGCTAATTTTCCATTGTCGCCCTTTAGCCGCACTTGACATGCGTATATATCCATTCCTGCTATTTCTAAGGCAAGATAGGTGCCCTTTTCATTACCAGTGGGATAGCCTATAAAGCAATGGTTAGAACATATTCATTAATATGAATCGAGGCACCAACCCGTGACATAAGTAGGAATCATGTTTAAATCACTTGTTCTGTCGTCTGCTAAACCAGCAGTTAGTTCATTTCGGAAAGAGTTGACTATATCTTTCAAAACATTTTGGTCAAGACAAAATAGTTGCTCTAGCTCCCTTATTGCTTCTCGCTGGTTGGGCGTGGAATGAACCATTTCTTGAAGAGGTGTAGCCTGTCTTTGACTCATTAGGTAAAACGACAAGGGAAAAAAAAGGGACCAAAATAAAGGAAAACTGAATTTATTATACGCTGGGAAATGGCGGGAAAAATGAATCAATAGCCTTTCACCTATTTGGTACTTGGGAAAATACATAATGTGATGGTTTTTTTATTCTTCTTCTTCTGCAAAAGGTATCAATGTCCATTGTTGAAGATCATGATTCCCTACTCGACGACCATTTGTGACGATATAAGTGCCTTCGTCTTCACAGTCTCCCTATGAAAAAGATTAGATCGTCAAGCTATTTTTTTTTTTTTTACTGATCTTTTAGATACGAATTTTAAACACGTTACCTCAAGGTCCAATACAAGTCTTGGATCAGCTACAGCATAAATGTAGCCGTCACGAATTCCCCATCTTTGGTTATGTGCCCTATGCACATATTTGTATAAGAAAGAGATGTTGGTTGTTCATTTTGTCTGTGACTTACATTGTTTTTTTACGACCCCACAAGTTAACCTTTTGTCCAACCCTGAGATCGCCTATAGACGATGTTTAATGTTTATAAAAATGATTTTAAAGTGATTACCTCCAACGATGTCTAAAACTAAAGATGATGACTTGTTGATCAAGAACCCGTTCTCAAATTGCCATAGCTACTCATATGTTGATCTTCCTTTAAATAACCCAGAAATGAATAATAATTACCTCATGTTCCTCGCCTGTCTGATAACAATGTGCTTTAATAGAGCTGAGATTTCAAGCTTATGCGTGATTTGTTTACATACCTTATTTTGAACAGTAATCTTACTACCCTCCTATCAAAAAAAAAAAAGATTAGATCCTTTCCCTTTAAAGAATCAGTTTATATTACCTCAGTATATCCATTTGTGCTAAGGACGAGGCCCGTCTTTTTTGATACAATATAAAAGGCTTTGTCTCTTAAAAACATTATTTGTGCGAGATAGACGAGAAATAAGAAAAAAGAAAGAAGAGAGAAAGAAAAAACTGAACTCGTACACCACTAATTATTCGTTGCACAAGCTTATGACGCAGCTAAAAGTAAGGGCTGATGGGGTTTACTTTTATCATATTAATGTCACTTGTGAAATGGTTTTGTTATTAAAAAGGGTTTAGATAAAAACATATTTTTTAAACTATTTTATCAAAATTGGTAAGTGCTTCAGGGCCGTTTTGGTCTAGAAAACGAAGTGTAGCCATAAGGTCATCATTACGGACATCTTCAAGATTTGACGTGTGTCAGAGCAGATAGTAAAAGGTGTAAGATGCTGTACAACAGTAACAGAGGACAAGTAGATCAATAGAATATTCATTATCGCTGGGTTTCTTTTGTAATGAAATTTGTGGGCTATAATACGAAGCTTTATTTCGTTTTAGTATTTACAACAATATATAATACGCCTGAACTCACTTTTTCCTAGTTCACTAGTATATTATGTTTAGATAGCCTAAGAGAAAAAGGAATAAAGGATTCAGGATCTATTAAATATATATTAAAAGAAAAGGAACGTGTGTAACTTTGTGTTTGCACATCTTTCAGTATATATGTATTCCTTTATTAAATATCCTCCTTGTCTTTTTATGGTAATGTATCTTAATTTTTCATCTATTGACTCTTTTCAATAATGTATATATATGTTCTACACGATCATTCTGGCACTTTATACAAGCCAATTCGGATATTCCTCCGCTTAATCCGAACGACGAATCCAGTAATCCCATTGGTAGTTTGTACTTGTGGTATTCAATTATAGTATTTCCACTTTGAATTCAGATGATGAAACGAAAAATAAACACAGGCAGGAGAAAATAAGTTTTCAGACAAGTATACAAGACTACTTTGCTTCTGTTCTCAAGATAGACATATTATTGAAGATGGTACCATGAAAGGATTCATATTATGAAAGCTCTCTCATACTATCTAAATTCGTAGCAGTACTCCAACAAAATAGACGCTACATACACGTACCTGAAATAATCTGGCAGTGACCAAGTATATATACAAAAATGAGCCCTCTCTCTTTATCAGTACCTTCTAGAATGCATCTATTTGTACTTCACCAATTATCAAGTGATTTAAGTACACAATCAACTTTTGCTTTAAAGTGTCCTTTTAAGAATGCCAATATTTGAATAAAGCGAAAGACTACGAGCCTTACTTCTTGACCACAAACTCAAGACTATTTCTTGAAAGGCAGGAGACGACTACCGTAAAGTTATTATATTATCTCTTAAAAACAGGGACAGCTTTCTTTTTGCCATAGACCTCACATTATCATCTTTTAATTCATGGCAGTGGCGTGCGATACTGATTGAATTCAAGAGTTTTTCAGAAAGCCGCAACTTGGCTTTGAGCCACCTATTCTCTCACGATGCTTTCAGAATGATCAATTACTCATCTAAGAAATAACAGGGCGCTTTTGAGTTTGGTGATGAATGTGACTTGTTACACTTGAAATGTAATTAATGCGTGGTTAAAAAGGAAAGGAGAAATGGAACTTTTTTTATTATACTTTCTTTATTCTAATGTTCACTACTTCAGACAGCAAGACTAAAAGACTATGCTTACAGAGGAAGCCTATCAACTTTGAGGAACATTTCTCACAGTTGATTGACATGCTTAACGGCATTTATTCATTTTCTCAGAAACAACCTGAAATTAAGGGAATGACGATGTATCAGTAAATATATTCTTTAATATGTATTAATTATACTTTATTCAACTTCATCATTAGAATCGTCTATGACCTCTGTGTAGCTTCTCCAAGGTCTTTCTCTGACAAGGTGTTCTCTGGAATAGCAGAATATATTGATGCACATACAGTTAATCAGTGCAGAGTAAAAAACAATAAAAAAAAAGGGTCTGCTTTTGTACAATTTGTCTTATCTCTCTTTTTTTTTTATTGCAGTTCATACTATCTCACGATGATGTCGTTACAGCATATGCAAATACATTCGAACGATTCGCTCTAGCTGCAGAATATATGTCTAGAGGATGCTGTTACCTGGATCGTATCCACAGCACTAGTCAACTCAATCGAGGTGGAAAATACAAAAAGCAAAACGTGGAGGCTGTTGCTTTATTACTCTGGAAGAACAATGTACTGTTTACGATCAGAGACAAGTTTCAAAATAAGCTGTTCTATCAAGTATTTGAATGGATTCGACAGGATAGAAACGGGATTGAGGCGCCTCATAATATCATCAAGTCAGTCGTTACATCACTTGTGCAGGTAAACGCATTTACAGATCAACCACTACAACTCTATATCGAGGAATTTGAGCGACCCTATCTTGTTCACACAAAACGATACTATGCAGCTGAGGCTGCTAGAGAAATCGCAACAGGAAGCATCAGTCATTTTATGAAACAAGCTAATCATCGTCTTCAGCAAGAGATTATACGAAACAACCAGTACTGTCATTCAACTTCCCATGGAAGGATTGTAAGAGAATTTGAAGCACAGTACATCATGGCTTATCAAGATCGTATTGTCGATGAGTTTGAAGACATGTTGAAAGATGAAAGATTTGAAGGTTTATATTGTAAATGAGATAGTGAAAAAGGCTGACATGATTCATTAGATTGTACCTTGGCCTATAAGCTCTTGAGCCGTATACCGGATGGTTTGAAGTCAGTGTTAGAGATTTATGAAAATTACATTACAAAGTTAGGCAAGGAATTGCTCTCACAGTTAGGATCAAGCACAGTAAAGAACCCTAAATCTTATGTCGATCAGCTACTTGTATTACATAAAAAGTATTATCAAGTCAATCAACAAGTGTTTGAATCACAGCCTCTATTTACAGCCGCAACAGATAAAGCATTCAGAGTGATCGTGAATGACTCATCCTTTTCAAGTGGGCCAGAAACACTTGCACGTTATTGTGATATGATGTTAAAGAGAAATACTGCGAAAAAGGAGATGGGTGTAGCTGGTCAGCGAAAGAGATTGAAGAAAGATGTTGAGGATGATCAAGAGGATCAAGAGGAGCGCGTCATGAAGATGATTACTCTATTTAAATACGTGGATGATAAAGATGTATTTCAAAAGTTTTACTCTAGAATGTTGGCTAAGCGTTTAATTTATAATGCTTCATCATCTGAAGAACTGGAAATCAACATGATTAATCGATTGAAAGAGATATGTGGCGTGGAATACACCAGTAAACTGAACAAGATGTTTACAGATATATCCCTAAGCAGTGATTTGAACAGCAAGTTTAAGGCTTACTTAAAGGAAAATAAGTTCCAGGCTCAAGGTATGATATATATATGGCAAATAAGAGGATATATGATTTATAAAAGACTAGGTACTGTGGAAGCACTTGTATTGACAGCTGGTGCATGGCCACTCAATCAAAAGGAAGACACGACGACTGCTACAAATAAGCTACTGATTCCTTCAAGTGTAAGGATAAAAAAAAGTTGATTATAACCAAACTAACATGACGATAGCTTGAAAACAACATTACATGGTTTGAAAACTTTTACAACAGCCACTATAGTGGCAGAAAGTTGCTCTGGCAATGGAATCTGACAAGAGGTGAAGTACGTGTGAATCATTGTGATAAGAATTATGAACTTCAAGTGAGCCTGTATCAGATGGTCTTGCTTTTACTCTTTAATGAACATAAATGTATGACATTGAAGGATATCATGAACCGTTCTGGATTGAACCTTGGAGATACCATGCGTAGTTTACGACCACTCATCGAAATACGGCTACTCGATGCAGTGGATGGATTGGATGAGGATAGTGAAATCAAAGTGAATACCTCATTTACAAACAAAAGAACGAAAATAAAGCTTAGTACTACAGCTACGCAACAACAGAATGATAATCAACAAGAAAGTCAAGCAGCCAGGAAATCAGTAGAGGAAGATCGAAGAATGTATATACAAGCTGCTATTGTCCGCATCATGAAGTCGAGACAAACACTGACACATGTACAACTTATACAAGAAATCCTAGATCAATCCAGCTTTAGGTTTTCTCCTTCAGTCTCTTTGATCAAAAAATGCATTGAACAACTTTTAGAGAAGCAATTTATTGCCAGGCAAGATAGAGATTGCTATGTATATGTTGCGTAGTCCAAACTCCGAATATGACTTTTAAAATGACATTCACACCTTTTCAACCATTACATTGTCTTTCTTTCTTTTCCTTCCCCTTTCCTCTACTTGACTCGCCCTGTTAACTTTTTTTCTTATATAAACACATCTATTCCCCCTTCTCTCTCCACAATTTGTTAGATAGCATAAAAAAGAAATGGAATAAAATCAACCTCTAGAAAAGGGCCACTTTTTTATATATATTTTATTCCAAGAACAAAAAAGACACACACAGACACATACACATATTTTATAATGAACCTTGAAGAACTTAAAGAAATTCAAACAAATGAAATCGAAGCTTTAAAGGCTATTTTTATGGAAGACTACCAAGAAGTTGTCAACAAGACAGCTTGGAAGGTATATTGACTCCTTTTTTTTTTTAAAAACGATTCTGACTCTATCCAAAGGTTGCTCACACAGATCCTGAATTCATATTACATTTGCGTCCATTAGGCGTCGAGGGAGACGAGGCTCATGTCACAGTTGATCTCAAGGTACGATTTCCTCGATCTTATCCCAACAAACCACCTGAACTACACCTTATCAATCCTCGAGGTTTATCACCACCTTTACTTCAACAACTATCAACTTCACTTCAAAAAGCAGCACAGGAACTATTAGGTCAAGAGATGATGTATGATCTAAGCGACCATGTTCGTGCATTTTTAGCTAATCACAACATGCCTCCATCAGCTACGTCAAAACTCACATTGCATGAGCAAATGATTATCAGAAATGAACAAGACTTGAAGGTCGAAAAGGAACGTGAGCTAGAAGAACTCGACAGAATCAGAAAAGAACGTGAGGCTGAGTTACGCGTTCAGTCAGATATGATGAATGAAAAAATTCAGCAAGATATCGAAAGAAAGAGAGAACATGCTCGTGCAGCGATGGAGCAACGACAACAAAGACTTGTTGGATTTACTGATACTGCAGAGGATGATTTTCACCTGGATATGCAAGATATCAACCCTGGATTTGAGTCAAGTGGGGATATTAAATTCATCACATTCGAAAACATGATCAATGTGCCTATCGACAAGGAAGAGAAAGATGTTATCTCAAAGACTATATCCTTCCACACAGTCGCATTAGGTCCTTGCCTAGGAAAAGGTGTTGTTGGGGAAACCTTTACGGCGCAGCCTGTTAATTATAAACTTATGGGAGCGAATAGTACTTCTGAAGATGTGGATAACTTGTTACTACCAGCTTTACTGGCAGTCAAAAGAGTAGATATATCCGGATCATATTATACAACGCAGGCTGGAAAAAGAAAGCTACAGGATATTGAAAGAGAATTAGATCGATTAAGGACAATTAGACATCCTCATATTGTAAATATTTATGATGCTCGATTGGATCGTAGTGAGATGGATAGAAACTCGTGGATCTTGCATATTTTAATGGAATATGAACAAGGAGGAAGCTTATATGATTTGTTAAAGAAATGCGGTGGTGGGTTAAGATTAACAATCGTTCGCAAGTACATGAAACAGCTATTATGGGCCTTAAATCACATACATTTGAGCGGATTCGTTTGCAAAGGTAAAAAAAAAGGAGGGAGGGGAAAAAGGCTTAAACTAACAATTATATATAGAAATTCGTTCCAATACTATATTCTGTAGCAGTAATCAATCTGTCAAATTAGCCGACATCAGTTATAACAAAAGGTTACATGGTATTGTATTTTGATATTTCCTTGATGAAATAGTATGGCTGACTTGCTCCTATAGATTTAAACAAGTCCAATTCTTTAGTCGAACACTCTGAAGATACATCAAGTTCAGAATTAGCCATCTCTTGGCTTTCTCCTGAAGTACGAGAAAGACCTGGAGTCTATGGTCGAAAGAACGATATTTGGTGTCTTGGCGTCGTTTTTATCGAAATGATTTGGGGAGTGGAAGTGACAAAAGAATTTGGTGACTTTGACGCGTTCATGCGCACAGCTTCTACTGAGATACCTGCTGCTGCCAACATTTTTGCAAGAAGAATATTAGAACCAGATCCAAAAAAGAGACCAACCGCTATTGACCTAATGAATGATCCATTCTTTGCAGGTGATACAGACTCTGTAATTTCAGAACAAGTTGCAGAGCCTGTTATTACAGGAAATGGTAAGATGAAATGTATCACGAAAATCAACTGTTACTGACTTTATACAAGTTGCACCGCATATTCATTCTAGTAAAAGTAATATCAGAGGTAGGGCTCCTCTGATGACAATGGCATCCGAGCCCATCATGCTGCCTCCTCCAGTCAATGCACTTGCTCCTCAGCAACTTTACGAACCATCCAACTATGTCGGTGCAAGGAATAGCGCGTCAAATATATCAAATGATATTGCAGCTTTGAATTTCACAACATCACGTTATAAGACCGATTTTGAAGAGATTGAGTTTTTAGGAAAAGGCGGGTTTGGTGAAGTCATCAAAGTGCGAAATCGTTTAGATGGTAGACTGTATGCGATCAAGAAGATTCGATTAGATCCAAAGGATAGCGAAGATTTGAAAAAGATATTAAGAGAAGTCCATTCACTATCCAGTCTTCACCATCAATATGTGGTACGATATTTTGCTACTTGGTTTGAGGACGAAGATGGATCAAATCTTAAAGGAAGTGCTAGTGACAGTGAAGGTTTTTCAGATGAAGATGATTTAGAAGAATCAGAATATGATGAAGAAGATGGTGACGTTAGCGCTTATAAACAATTTGACGACTTTTTGTCAATTGATAAGCATAGATCAAAGAGTAAAAGCAGGAGCTATTCGGCTATCCGCTTTGATGATGATACAAGCACGAGTGCGAGCAGTGAAAGTGATATTGATTTCGTTTCAGAGGACGATGACGATGACGGTTCGGATTTCATATCCTTTGCACCAGACAGTACAGATAATAACACAGCCACTGCTGGAGAGAGCACGAGCAGTTCAGTTACTCCGACTACAAACAAAGCCAAAGTGACTTTAATGAAAAGGGTTGTAGACAATACAAGGAAAAGAAGCAAGGAAGACAAAAGCTCAGATAGTCAGAGGCAGCACCAACGCACTAGAGTTCTGTATATTCAAATGGAATACTGTGAAAAGAAGACCCTGCGTGATGTTATTGATGAAGGTATTGATGAGCAAGAGGCTTGGAGGCTTTTTAGACAGGTATTAGAAGGCCTAGTTCATATACACTCCCAAGGAATGATTCATCGCGATCTAAAACCTGCCAACATTTTCTTGGACTCCAATAATGATGTTAAAATTGGTGACTTTGGACTGGCTACTTCAAATCAGACACTGGCAGATGGACAGATTTTCTCTCGTACTGCAAGTCAAGTTAGACTGTTTAATCAGCCTGGAGAGAATAGCAATATATCCACAAGTTATACTGGCTACTCTACTTCAAGTCAGCACAACTTGGAAGAAAGCATGACCACTGGTGTTGGTACCACCTTTTATGTGTCTCCTGAAGTTATGCCAAATCCAGCAACTGGCACAACATCTGGTATGCGATACAATCAAAAAGTAGACATGTTCTCGCTTGGCGTCATCTTTTTTGAAATGTGCTATCAATTCTCTACAGGAATGCAACGCGCTGTTGTACTAAACGAACTCCGTAATGGTAAATTCCCAGAAGATTTCCCTACAAGCTACATCAATCAAAAGAGAATCATTACCATGCTATTGTCCCCTCAACCCAAGGACCGTCCAAATAGTTTTGAATTGCTACGAAGTGATCTTTTGCCACCCAAACTTGAGGATGAATATATCAAAGAATGTGTACGAACAATAGCTAACCCCAACACACCATACTACGACAAGCTGATGTCTGCCATGTTTTCACAATCAGCAGATAGATTGAAAGATCTTACCTATGATTATCAAACAAGCATGGAAATACCTTTTGATCAGTATAGTCATATATTCTTTGATCGAATTAGGGAACAAATGACAAAGATATTCCGACGACATGGCGCCATTGATATATCTGCTCCTTTACTTATTCCAAAAAATAACTTGTACGAGTGGAACTGGAAGAACCCAGTCTATCTCATGGACTCACGAGGCTCTTTAAACCAACTTCCCTATGATCAAACAGTGCCCTTTGCACGATTTGTCTCACGCCAAAAGGGATTCCCAGAGTTGAAGCGGTTTACCTTTGACAGGGTGTATCGAGAAAACCAGAGCGGCGGTCAACCTGAAGCTGTTCTTGAAGCTGATTTTGATATTGTTCATCGAGAGACTGCAGCTCCCATGGTCCCAGATGCAGAAGTACTTAAGGTGGTAGAGGAAGTATTAGAAGAATTACCGCCTTATAAAAATGGAGGATTCTATTTTATGGTGAATCATACTAATATTGCTGATCTCATATTAGACAGCTGTCGTGTTCCTCCAGACATCCGTAAAGGAGTGCTCGTGGCATTATCCAGTTTGGGAAGAGCTCCCTCTTTTGCTGCTGTGAGAAACGTGTTGAAGCTAAAGTTTCACTTGCAACGAAGTGCATTAGATGAACTTTCCTCTTTTAATATTCATGGTAAGAGCAAAGTAATTGAAAAGGGGGCAAGATGCCTAATACTCATCTATAGGTGATTTGGAGACAGTTGCGAGAAAGGTTGAAGCTTTATTAAGTGGCAGCCATAAAGCCATGTTTAGAGAGAACGTTGGTGCATTAAGAACTCTACTTAACGTAAGCAAGTATATTGGAATCCATCACAAGATTGTCTTTCATCCCTTGCTGGTTTACAACAATCACTTTTACAAAGGTGGTATGGTATTTGAAGCAGTTACGGATACGATTGATTCGAAGCGTAAGGATGTGTTGGCAGTAGGCGGCAGATACGATTTCCTCATTCAGCATTTTGCTCACCCCAATGCCACTGCAAACCGTAAGCTTCGTGCTGTGGGGGTCAATATTGCTGTCCAAAAACTCATCAGACATTTGGACATGCATCAATCTGAACAAGTCAAACATTTGATGAAGACAAAGAATGAAAAAATGCGAAGCTTTGGTTTATGGGCTCCTAAACGGTGCGATGTGTATGTTGCAAGTTTTGGTAAAGTTTTGTTGCAAGAAAGGCTGGACCTTGTTCACGAACTTTGGAGCCATGGTATTCGAGCTCAATTCCAATATGACGATGAAGAGCAAAACAATCTTTCACCAGAAGATCTTGTGTCTCTCTGTAAGAAAGCATGTATCAACTGGGTTGTGATTGTAAAGCATAAGAACTCAGAGAGTAATAAGGGAGAAACGACTGTGAAAGTAAAGGATGTTTTGAGACGAACAGAAACCGAAGTTAGCAAAACAGATTTATGCCAATGGCTCACAGCAGAAATAAACGAACAGATAAGAGTTGATTCTATAGCAAGAGCTAGAAACAAACACGAGCTAAAGTCAAAGGATGCTTCGGATTCTGGTAAGTAAAGTATAAGCATGATTTTTTACTTTACTAAACTATCTTTCTCTTTTTTTTTTACCAGTACGCAATGATCCATTCTCATTAGAATTATCTAAAGGCGAAGGCATGGAACAAAAGAAGATGGCGTTCGATGTGAATATAGTGTTTAGCGAAAGTCGAGGCAAAGAACGTACAAAGATCAAGCACAAGCATAAAACTGCAATTACTGACAAAGGTAAACAACACAACAATGACTAATACATATCTAATACCATTTCCATTAGCCATTCATCGAATTTCACCTATTATTGAAGACTTGAAGAAAGATGTACAAGTAGTCGCATTTGATCTACCAAAAGACGTTGTACGATATATGGTTGGATATAACTTTTGGCAGGATGACGACTATAAAAAACTATTAGAACATATAAATGTAAATCAACAAGATACCCTCTCGAAAGTAAGACAAGCTGTTCAAAAATTAATCAATGCCAAACACAAGTGCGTATGGCTTTATTCACATAAAGATGACTTTGCTTTGCTTTGCTGTTTGTCTCAATAATAATAAAATAAATTGTAAATTTTTAAACCCACACGCTCATAAGCCCCCATATGCAGCTACCCTTTTTTCTGTAATTTTTTTTTTTTTTTTGTTTCTTTACTATGCAGCCATTGTTCGAAGCCTCAGGTTGGGCGCTTCCAAAGAAGATCGCACCACAAGACGTAAAAAAAGCCAATAAAAAGAAAACCAATGAGGAACAATCAAAAGAAGTAAAGGCTACAAAAGAAGCTGATCAACTCCAGGCTCAACTTTCAACTTTGACATCGTCAAAAAAGAAGACAAAAAACAACAAAAAGAGAGCATTAGAAGAGGAAGGAAACAGAGCTGAAAAACCAAATCAGAAAAAGATCAAGCATGACAACAGTAAAAAAGTTGAACAAAAGAATGAAAAAAAGGAAAAGATAGAAAATAAACCAGTAAAGAAAGAAAAGCTTCAACAAAAGAAGAAGTTACAAGAGGTACACTATTTTTTAGTAAGAAAGTAGAATTATTAACATCTTTATTCTTAATAGCTATTAGCTAAAACGAACAAAACAAAGCCTGAACAAACAAAGCCTGCTCAGGATAATAAAAAGACATTGAAAACAGCACCTCAGGAGAAGCAAAAGACACCACAGACACCAGTCAATAACAAAATAGACTTGGATGCCGGCCTTACTCCCTTACAGCGTAAAATGAAAGAAAAGTTGTCGGGAGCCAGATTCCGTTGGTTGAATGAACAGCTGTATACTACTCCTGGTGACAAATCATTCAAGTTATTCCAAGAAAAACCCGAATTATTTGATGAGGTAAAGGATTCACACCGGATATTATTATGTATGGCGTATTAAAAGATCAATAGTACCATGAAGGCTTCCGTCATCAAGTTGAATCATGGCCAGTTAACCCCGTAGATGTGATTATTGATCAACTTAGGCGCCTTCCTAAGAGCACTGTCATTGCTGACCTCGGCTGTGGCGATGCGATGATTGCTCAGACTTTGAAGAAGCACAAGGTATTAAGTTTTGATTTAATAGCAAAGAATGATTTTGTCACCGCATGTGATATATCCAAGGTAAGCTGTGATGAAATAGAGGCTATAGAATCTTCATTCTGAATATATATTGAACTATAGTTACCACTTGAAGCAAATTCAGTAGATGTCGCAGTGTTTTCATTATCTCTGATGGGTACAAACTATATCGACTTCTTGAAAGAGGCACATCGTGTTTTGAAAGTTGGGTAAGAAAAAAGCGAACCATCATCTTGTGTGTATATAATTGACCAATTCTATCATCTTTCAATTTAGTGGTGAATTGAAGATAGCAGAGGTTGTGAGTAGATTTAGTGATGTTGATGCATTCATCACTCTTTTGGAGGAGCTTGGCTTTGATTTTATGGATAAGGTAAGGATTAAGTTGGTTGTTAATGAGAGATCATATGAATGAATTGTATTCTTAGGATGACGACAATAAAATGTTCATCATGTTATACTTTACAAAGCAACCAAACTATGAAGAAGAGGTAGAGGATGAAGTATTAGCTGGATTAAGCAAAACACAAAAGAGAGCACTCAAGAAAGGCGCAGGATTAACCACACCTAAAGTCAAGCTCCAGAAAAAGGCACAAAAACTATTAAAACCGTGCTTATACAAGAAGCGATAATAAATCATTTTAATATTTTACAATAGATCACATACGTCTTCTTTCTCCTTTTTGAGTTTTCTTCTTTTCCTTGTCTAATGTCTTTTCTTTTTTCTGTTTTTCCAAGTTTTGTCTATTACGTTCCCTCTCTTTCTCATGTGCTTGCTTCATCTGTTCTCGCCTTATTCGTTCCTTTTCCTTGATCATTTCAGCATTGCGGTTCTCAACAAGTAAAGGATCTTTTTTCTTATTCATGAGCTATATGTAAATAATGATCCCAGTTACTTACCTATAGCCGCGCTGTTCTGATGATGACTTCCTTTGCCCTTACGACGCTCCTTTTGTTGATTGTCACCATCTTCCTTTTTCTTTTCCTTTTCTTTTTCACCTTCTTCTTCAGATATATATCCATATTCCCTCATCAGCAGTTCACGAGCTTCTTTTTCTTCCTTTGTTAGTTGCTTTTGTAACGTACGCTGTGCTTCTCGTTCTTGTTTCTCTTGCTCAACTTTACGTCTTCTTTCCTCTTCTCGGACTATTTAACATGCTAAGATACAGGTCTTTCCTCTGTTTCATATGCTTTATTTACCTTTTGCTTCTTCCAAAAGCTTAGATCGCTTTTCTTCCTCTTCTTTTTCGCGCTTTTTTATTAAGCTCTTCCATTCATCTAATAGTGTATCGATCAAGTTTTCTGTTGATTTTTCCTAATTTAAAGCATATTCAGATCACCGATTCAATAACCCTTTTTTTTTTTTTTACAGTGGCTTCTGCTAAGAATCCTGTAATAACTTCACGCTTTTCATCGTCTTCGATTGAATCATCCTGAATAATGCCAGCAATATATTCTGAGATGTCATCGTCTATTTCAATCAATATCAGTAAAAGTTTAGTTTTCCTTTGAAGAGGTACCTTTCAATTCGATCTTTGCAAGCTCTTCTGTTACTTGCTCTAATAGGCTCATTTGTGAAATAATAAAAAAAAGGACTGTGACTGATCTCGCTTCTAAAACTAAGCTCTCACATAATTAGAAGTCAAAATTGTGTTGTTTTCTTTTTATTTGTCAATACTTTATAAAGTATCCATGTTAACTGAAAATGTATCAACTAAAGAACGTGGCTCGTATCAACCTCACGAATAAAGAAAGCACTGGGATAATTATTATCTTGGAAAAGCAGGGCATTCATATGATAACATTGCAAACATAGTCGATATGCCAAAGTCAACAGTACAAAGCACAGTTGATAGAATTAAAAAAAGACTAGATCGCCTCTACCAACCAAAGCCAAGTTGATGCCACGTCATATCAGCACAGCTCACAAAATGTAATTGGTTATGTAAAGATCAATCTCCCCTTTTGCCACGGATCTATCTCTCTTTGTTCATAAATGAGTACAAAGAGCCTCATTCCATCTACTTGTATTATCCGAATTAAATATTTTATTCTACAATATCACAGGAAACGCAATCCCAAGAGTTCTGTTCAAATAATTTTACAAGACTAGAGTGTGAACGGTGAATTATTTAAATGTAATAAGTTCGATGAAGAACGGAGAGCGGCAAAGCTTTGTAGCTATATCCGAATGCATTGGGACAGCGCTGAAAGAGTAAAACACAGTTATCCCAAAAGTATTATCGCCAACAAGTTAACGGATATCCTTCATAAATTGGATAAGCATGTCAGTGATAAATGTAGTATAGAATATTGATGACCTGTGACATTGTAGAGGCAATTGACAAGAACAAACGAGTGATGGTGACTGAAGAGCCATGATAGAAAAAAGCAAAGATTAGCCAAGATATTTTGGATGATATTATCGATGGAGTCGCTTTTAGTGACGATAAATAGTTGTAATAAAGTCATGTTTTTATTTTACTCCAATGCGTAGTCTTTACAGTGAGAATGAAAGTAAAAGAACCAATTAGAGTAAGCTAGTAATCATCCGCACCTTTACAGTAGGCCACGTCCTACCGAAACACAACCTACAGCCAGTTCCAAGCTCTCCTCTACGGGAAATCAGAACAAGTTTCAACATATATCCTCTTATCGACCATTCAGTCCGTTCACTGATGAACATTGATCTCAGCTGTACGCAGCCTTCACGCTGTCCGATCAAGATTCGAGTTCCAAAGTCGTCTCTTTGCTGTTTAAACAATTTGTCCTGTATATTATTGTCATATAGCAACGTCTAGTTCTAATATTAAGATAAACGACTGTAATCAGTATGAATAAAACATAAATCATCATTTTTATATAAAAGAATATACTTCTTTTAAAGATGATCTTCATCACAATAGAAGCTTTTATTACCATTACCTACGGTGCATGTCGCCTATAACCTGCTCAAGCCTTTTTAGAAATGCCCTTTTTCGGGCGCAGCTGTTTGTCAACGCGTATTTTGCTAATAACTAAGATTTCACTGACTTGGCTGTTATAACGCAACAAAACTTTTGGCATGCTATCACCCAACTCATTATGGGCCAAAATATTACAAGCAAGGTCTATATTTCCAACAGTGCTGCCCTTGGTTCTCGGATTTTAAACCAGAGCTTCCGTCAACCGTGCTTTCCTTTAAAGACAACCCTATAAAGGGTTACAATGACACTTTATCTGCTGCTTGTGCTGTTTTTACCATCGCCTATTTGAACCACATTGTAGAAAGCTTTCCTTCAAAAGTTTTATATTACTTGATTGCCAGGTTTGTTATCATTAATCCTGTGAGTTTTTAGTTATATATTTATATGCTTAGCAGTGACATCGATATTCATTACGTATATAATTAGGATAAGCTCAAAAGACTTCTGTACAAGTTGGCTGACGACTTTTGTTGGGAAATTTTGACAAATGGAAAACCCAAGTAGTCTATCCAGAATATAGCACAAATGCTTCTTTTATGTATTGGAATACAAATTAGGCTTTCAATACAGGCTAATGTCAAGAGCCTTGCCACTTTTCCTGCAAACTTTGTGCCTGCTTTGGCTGTTATGATATCTGAACTTGAAAAGCTTTGCAATGACCACAAAGGCAATAAAACAAAAATGCCCAGACGTTTTTCGCTAATACCTACACCTTCTATACATTGGTAGTATATTGCTATAAATACAAAGACATTGGAGACTATGCCGAAACACAAGGGCAATGGCACTTACGAAATAAAGCGTAAACTTGTATTATCCAATTTTTAACTTTAAGGAATTTGGTTACGAAAGCTTGGACGAAGTTCTTACAAAGTGAAAATAAGTTTGCCTGCTGAATTCAAACAGATGGCTTTGGCGCATGTTTCACATTTGCAGGAAAGGCAAAAGTCGCAAAAGCGACAATACAACTGAATTTAGAAGGCTTTTGTGATTAAGAAATACAGGAGTATTTTCAGTCCTGTGCTGTTGATCCTGGAAGAACACATATATTTACAGCTACAATACAGCATGAAGAGGGTAATCTAGAAACAAGAAGATACTGTATTTTTATTAATTATTGACGTTAATTTTATAAAATATTGTCGTAAAATAAAAAAAAATATTTTCGTAAAAAGACGACAAAGAAAAATACGTTTGAATAAAGCGACATCATGTCAAAAGAGATAGAGAGATAATGAGTATATGTAGAAAAAGAGAGAAAAAGTATGTTAGTATTAGAGCACACATCCTAATATTAGTTTTACTTACCACCAAGGTGCATTATGGGGAGGGTAGCGATAACTACCCAGGATTGCTTAAACAAAACAAAAAAAGGAACGGAGGACAGAGAGAAATGCATATATGACACATACTCTCATTCATATACCTCGCTTATTCCGTTTTTACAATGAACGGTCAGCGCCATTTCTTTTTTATTATTACCAGGGCAGACAAAGGTCAAATGCAGAAATGGTCGACGTACGATTAACGGAGGAAAAAAAATACAATAAAACAAAGCAGAATCAAAAGCAGCGCAAGAAAATAATCAAATGTAATTATGGCAATAGTGTTATTATTTAAAGGTTATTGACAATGATATAATTAGGCCATCTGTTCAAAAGGAACAAGTAATTCTGAAATATAAGTTTCAATATCCTAATTCGATTCCTTTGGTTGTTTTTAGTGACAGTATGAAAAGCAAAGGCACTGTCGCTGGGATATTTCAGAAGGAGCTCCTTCAGAGATCAAGGCAGTTCAAGAATGTCCTTGTTGGCATAAATGAGTTCCGAACATCGAAGGTATTCTTATGAAATCAGAGTGATAACGTCAACGTTATTTAATGAAAGCTTTGGTTCATCATCTATTTAGGTATGCAACAGCTGTAAGTAGAAGCGACTGGAGCAGAAGAAGCTCTCAAATGGAAACACACCCTATAGTATACTAGATTGCAAATTCTACAATATATTATGAAACAGAGATACAAATGCAAGCAGAAACATGCTGTATATCTTCTGGGGCATTTGGAGTGGTGAAGAATGACCTTCGTTTTTCACAAGAGAAGTCGCGTAGAGAACACGGTTCCCTTCAATAGGGTTTAGACATTTACATGTAGATGTTTTGTTCAAATTCAGTATAAAATACTAAATCTAGGTTGATAAGACTGTATTATTAGAAAGAATAAACTCTTTTTTCTCCTCTTTATTTACACACACATACTGATAGCATCTTTTTTGGTTTATTGTTGATGTCCCCTCAGTAGTCTCCAGTGTTTACACTTTCTTTTTATGCTTCAGTGGAATACCAAACTAGGAAACTTATCGTCGTAGTTTAAAATGCCTTTTATTATCCAATGAAATAGCATCGGATAACCAATTGACATTGTTTTGCACATCCTTAATTTCTTTTGTGGAGCTCGTTCACTCTTGTTAGGGAAAAAAAAAACTGTTGTAATATATACAAATTATGGCAAAAAGGAACGAAAAGGACATGTAAGTAGGAATGTTTTTGAAGAGAGAGTTGATGTGTGATCTAAAAAACTGTAATATTAAAAAGTGATAATGACCTCGCAGAAAGATTTAACAAAGTCTTTGCCACTCAAGCTATCGCAGCACGAAACGACTATCAAATACCAACCAACTTGGACGAAAAGGATATTGCACAAGAGGTAAGAATGATTCTTGGGAAAAAAAAAATTAATCAAAAGGGGAAAAGATTGAGAAAATGCTGTATGAGACTGATGACGAAGAGGATGCGATTGATGATTATATCTATGGTGTCCTCACTCAATCTGAACCACAATCACAACAAGGGCCCATACAGCAAAAGATGAAGCAGATTGAGGATATACTTCTGGGTCCAGACAATCTCATTGGATCGGATGAGAGCGATGCCTTGATAAAAAAAGCCATAGAAGAAAATAGACTAGATGAAAAATACCAGCAATTTACAGCCAAACGAGATACAGAGTTACAAGAAAGACTAAAGAATATTCAGAATTATGTCCCTTCAAGTAGTACGTCGTGTAGTGCAGCTATTGGTGATAAACCAGTTGGACCTGTTCCCAAAGCTATCTCAACTGAAGACTTGTATGATGAAACAGATGATTGGTGCTGTAAGTAATCTATGACAAACAAGAGAAATATAAACACATTCATTAGGTGTATGCAATGAGGATGCTACTATAGAATGTGAAGGATGTGAAGATGACAACAAGTACTGTACCGAGTGCTTCTTTCAAACACATCGTAGTGAATTTGCAGACTATGAAGCAACTAGGCATAAAAGCAAAAAATACCAAAAGAGAGCATAAAGAGGCAATTGAACACGTTTTGACTATTAAAGTAATAAAAGCAATCGTCGTCCTCTAGTGTTTCACGTCAAGATATCCTAACATGATGGGGGTGAAAGAGCATCCAGACAAAAAAATATATATAGTTACATCAGTGTAACCTGTTGACTATGCTGTAAAGCTACTTGCTTGATCTCCCGCTCGGAATAACGACCGATCACGACTTTTCTAAAGTTGCCAGGCATAAATTTATGCAAACTGTATTTGTTGCGTAATGACCACAGTCATATTGCTTTGAATAAAAAAAAAAACGATGTGAAAATAAGCTCTGTATCACTTGATAACCATCCTCCAAGCAAAAAAAATAGCGCACTTTTTAAAAGTTACACCTATTACTTGTCCAGAAAAAAGAGCCTAAATGGAAATAATACCCTATTTCCAATACAGTGTAACAGTAATACGAAAGAAGGGGCCAACATAGTCTACAGATGGGTTAAAGGAAGTGACTATTTACAAATTCTTTTAATTCTTTAATAAAACTAGGCGGCAGCATAACAGAGGCAGGATAGCGCTCTGCATGATGTTGCATGTCATGTAAGCAATCTAGAAACAGGTAAACAGAGCCTAGATCAGTCGTTTGATTGACTCTATAATATATGAGTAAGCATAAAAAAAAGTTAAAAAACACTGGATTACCTATTACTATTATCACCATAGCTACCATCACCATGCTTACCATCATGCTGGGATAATGTAAAAATACTACTCAGCTATTGGATAAATAAGTTACAAAAAAAAAAAATCAAAAGCGTGTAACTAAAGGTAATACCATCGATTTCACCTGACGCATTTGTACACGATCTGAAAATAGAGCTGCGGTAATAAAGCAAGCTGCGACCGCTCCATGACTGTTCAACAGGATAGCCGGGAACCATGTTTCCTGCGATTCGTTTGATCCTATTATAGACGAAATAATGTGAGTAAAAAAAAAACTTTAGAAAAGGGGGTTTACCTTGACGTGATTGAAACCAGTTTTGCAAGTCTCTTTGTGACTCATGTTGTCGATGATCTATCGACGGGTATATTATCCAGTTGATATAGTTCAGAGTATCATCCAACTTTTTTTACAAACATTAGTCTTTTATGTTGTTCATAAATATTCATTATTACCTCTCTAGTCCAAGGGGCATCTTTATCATGAATAAAATGAACAAGATCATGGATACAATGCCATAGGAATTGGATAAAACAGGTTGATAAACACCAGGCCATCGTGCGTCTTTGAGGGATCCCTTGCGCAGGACCACTGTAAATATGGTCTAATAATAAATCATGCACATGTCGAACTACCTTTGCTGGATAAATGCCCTCAGAAAACGCGCTATTTAACTGCTGATAAAGTTCTATTCCTAAGCATGGGTAAAGATACTGCGCTAATCGAGAGACTCGCCAGTCATGAAATAATTCAACGTATTCTGACAGTTTGAGAGCCAGTTTGTTTGAGAGACAAGTAGATCGACTTGAAAGATGCACGAGTTCTTTCTTCAATAATGCTTCGCTTAATGCATTTGGATCTATATACTGAGATGATTGCGTAAATGATTCTATTAACTGTAGTATTTCCATATCTAAAAAGTCATCTACTTGCAAGAGCAGCCTACTCCCCAGAAGGGATTAGACGACAGTGTTTTCCTACTAGTTTTCTTACCTAATTTTCAGCTCATCAGGCCAATGTTGATAATGACCTCTCAAAGCCGATGATTCTTTGCATAAATGTTGTATGAACCGTTCAGATAGCCGTATCTCTTTATGAAAATGAGCTGAATCCGGCTCTTCATCACTTAATGCATGCTGAACAATCTGTTCTATCACTATTGAACAATCCTTGTCGTGAGCGAGTGCTATACAATAATCTGTGAAACGAGCCACGGTTTCTGCCTACAGTATACAATTAGACCTGGTTCATTTCTATTTTATGCAACCACATACACTGATCTGACGTCCTTTGGATACTATCAGATCCATTACTTGACCCATGAGGCTATCTTTGTCATTTGTATTGAATTCATCTGTTTGACTGACGAGTATCAAACGGCGCAGACGAATGATACACCATAGCGCTGATCTACACACAGGATGTCGGTGAACGCAAGCATTTAATGATTTTATATAATAATTACTTTTCTAATGTTGGTAATGATGTTGAATCTATATCTTCTAGGTTCAATTTGCTATATTCCATCAAGCACGTAAGCAATAAATTCGCCATTGAGGTTGAATAACCAATATAAGGATGTGTCTAAAGAATGAGCTCAAGTTTATAAACAATGCTGTATCTAGTTACAGATGCTAAAGTCAACAGTGAGCCTATAGCCGGATATCGTTTTGCACATTCTATAGCAGTAGGGATCTGCTTCAATTCCTAAAGTGTGTTATTTTCAATCAAACAACGTGAACAATTCCGCCATGTTACTTGCGAAAGCTGAAACATAAAATCCTTTAGAAACTCTATATTGTCCATTACAGAGTCCAATCGTCTCTCAGGAGCCGTTTCCAGCACCTGCCTGAAACGAGCCCAATTGAGGACCATGGAGAGAAAGTGAATAAAATATGTCGTGACTGATAAAGTGTGTAACTTTTAAAGAAGCCACACACACACACACACACACACATACCGATTGGAAATGTGAAACTCTGCTTTATGCATACACAAGCTCCATTGTGTCTTACTAGTGTTACAATCACGTCAAAAAGACAGGTAGTATTAAGTATAATATTTATATATAAGCTCAATTATAAACATAAAAAAGAAGGGTGAATTGTCAAGATAAAACAATATATAATAAAATAAACAAAAAGCGTGGTTGAATATAAAGAAGAATAAAAAAGGGGGATGAGGGGAAGTTCTTTTTTTTTAGGTTGCATGGGCTGAAAATTACATATAACTTACAATATAAAGGGAGGAAAACAATTATAGGTATGAAGGGACCATATGTAGAAAGTTATTTTGCAGAAAGTATTTATACAAGCTATGACGCATGCTGCTGGTGAGTAAACTTTCTAGGTGGGCCATAAGGTGTTGAAGGAGCTGAAGTATTAGAGTAGGACTGTGATGATGGAGGTTGAGAAAAGTATGAATTATGCTGTTCATATGGGGATTGAATGTGACCTGCTGAGTTCATGCGTCCGCGGGCCCAGTCAGCATGATCGATAGGCATCATGCCTTGAGGTGGTTGCTGTTGTTGCTGTTGCTGTTGTTGTGGCAGTTTATTGTCATCTGGTAATCCAGTAGGTGGAGCTCCATTATTAAATTCGCCCTGGTAGAGATCAGGGGAGGATGTTTCAGACGAAGAAGGGTCTGAGGTCATACTTGGGACCATGTAAGGCCCCTGTTGTGGTCCAGGTCCACTAGTGGGTGTAGGTGGCGTAGAGTTCATCATCATGCCAGATGGAAGAGAACCGTTCATAGGGTTGAAAGGAGGATAACCGGGGTATGCCGAGTAAGGATAAGGTGAGCCATATTCAGAGCCCATGACGGCAGGAGGTGTCATAGGGGGTCTAGGGAAAGGTGCACTAAATCTGTCGTCTTGAGGTGGAGGAGGTGCCATGACCATGCTGTTTTCATATCGTTCATGGTTGTCAGAGTAATGACCAGGGCTACGGCCGCGAACGACCAATGGAGCAGATTGGCAAGAGGCCACCTTCACACGCTGGTTGCCATCAATCTCTGCATAAAGGTCAACGAGACAGACATAGTATTGTTGTGCAGCACGTCGCTTGCCGTTGTTAGCAGTTGCTGTCTTGAATTGAATACGTTCGAATGTAACAATGCTTTGATTAGCTCCAACTGAACTCATGTTCAAATTACCGCCAGGCATGATAGGTTTGGGGGATGGTGTGGTTTGTGGACCTTTATCACGTTTAGGTGTGTGCTGGACAAGTTCGATCTTCTTATCGCTATTGGATACACGAGCAGAGATACACATTGAAAAGTGAAGGACAGGATGGAATTGACCATCATGTTGTACATAACATTGTGTGTCTTGGTCAGCATAGTAATGATTCAATCCATGAATGGAAAACGCGCCACTGACTTGGAAATAATTTCTGCGGTAGCAAGTCCAGTCATTATCAGCTAAAAAGAAACCCCGATCCATCTTTGCTTGAATTCGAACGGTTAGTCTAGACGGGGAAAAAATAAAGTTAGAACAGTTGCAAAGTTTTCCTTTTTATAGTGTTCTTACAATGTGGTTCTGTCTGCAGCATACAAGTTATCAAAAGGTTTTGTAGAGCTAAAGAAGGGACCAAGTTCAGCAGAAAAAAGTTCACTTCTTCCTCTTTTACGCGCAAGCACAGGATGAGCATATGGGGCAGGATGGAAAGAGGAAGGGCCGTAGGCGGGGTGTGGTTTCTTTGCTGTGGGAGAATGAGGACCAGGACGAGGCGTGCTGGGTTGAGAAAGGGCCATCATGCTAAATGGCAACACTAAATGTTAGGAGAAATAAAACATAAGCCAGCCAAATAAAAAGTTACCTAGGTAATCGTGGATCAGATTCAGACTTTGCATGAGGCAAAAAGCTTGTTGGAGGAGGAGGGGGAGGAGGTTGATGATGTCTATAATAAACTTTTTAGTATTCCGCTCATCAAGAACTAATTTTATAAAAAAAAAAAAAAAAAAGGAAAAAAATGCAGATTGATGTTGCTCAAGCAAAAAGTAAAAAAAAATGACAGAATTAACAAATTTAGTTTTTACTTACACAGGAGGATGCATAGAGCCTTGAGAGTAAGTTTGAGAATAGTGATGGTCCATTGAAGGCATTGATGAATATTGAGAAGGTTGATGGTGAGTTACAGGACTTTCAGCCATTATTGGATGATGTAAATTAGCTTGGGACATTTGCCAATCTTTTGAGTCGTGCGCAGAATTCATTTAATATATAAAAAAGGGGAATAAGGGAAACTGATGACTTCTTTTGCTCTAAAAGATATCAAATCAAAAGAGAGAAAAGAAAGAGAGGGAAAAGAAAGAAAATAAAAAAGGGCGTAAACCTTATAAAAGATCTAGGATCTCTTTTTAAAAAATAACGGTCGGAACATGAAATAAACGACAATAAAGTTGAGGGACAGAATAGATATGAGCGATTTACTGGTCTGTTGGTCTGCCTGCCTGCCTCGTTCGTTATCACTCGCTCTCACACAATATAGTTTATTACGAAAAAAAATCATCATATTCAAACTTCGCCAATTTCGTTTTTTTTTTTCTTGCATTAAAATTTAAAATCAGAATATGAAGAATAAAGTGGGGATCGACAATAGTGAAACAGTCCATTTTTTTACTATTTCAACTTGACGGACGTGCGCTCTATAAAGATGTATCTAGTGCATGAACACCAAATAGGGTCTGGTCGTACTAGGTCATACTTAGATAATATAACCCCCTTTGACCCCTTTTATAAGCTCCTTTATAGTTGCCACGTTGCTTCCATTCAACTTTATCATTGTCATAATCGGTTGCTATGTAATCTGTAATGTTTTTTTTTTTTTCTCACAAGATAGAACAAAACAGAGTGTATAATGTTATAATTACCATTTTTGGTTCTCCGAATATTTTTCCAAAGGTCACACTAAGGAATAGGGACTATCTTTTACCATTGATTGGTTAAGGATGATTCAGTTACTATATTGCTATACGTTCTAAGTGGCTATGTATCAATGATATCTTTATTAAATGTTATTTTTAACTTTTTAACTTTTTTATTTCTTATTCTTTAAAATGGAATAGTTTAAAGCCTAATCTTAAAAAAGAAAATCACAGCAAAAAAAATTTTTTTACCTTGTCTATTTTGTAAACTTGAAGTCCAAATGAGGGAACAAGTTATTTAAAAAGTTAATTTGCGCGGTGATTTTGGTTACTACTCCGAGTACAAATTCTCCTGAACGACGAGGGGGGAGAGAAAATTTAAATGCAGTAATAACGCGCGTGCATAATAATAGAATCAACTTTACATGTGATAAATAATTTACCCACTTTCGATGTGAAAATATAGCTTTGATTTACAATTAATTCTCCTTTAGCGCCAACATCATAAGACTTGTTTTTTCGTCTTTCTATATTTTGTATAAATTAACATATAAAGATGATCCTAGCAACAATGATTGCTTTTTAAGGCAAAATAAAGTACCATTAACAAACAAATCCCACATTCGTATTACCTAGTTACACCGTCAAAGGTTCCATTTATCCATTATTCATGGTTAAACAAGCACGCCGAGACCACCTCTTTAGCCCAATAATCTTGGTCTTTTACGTGAAGGCCTCTTTTGTGTACTACTTTGGACATTTTAGATGCGCAAGAAATGCACTCACTTTCCATACGTCGATCAATTCCTATTTACATATTTTCTGGATGCATTTTATGTGCATACCTCCGCTTTATCGACTGATTTCTTTTTTATAAAAATAAAAATAAGGTTGCTAGGGTAAATCACATTCATCCCCATCGAATATTGTTGCGATTCTCACTTTCCTTTTCATTCCATTTCAATTCATTTATCATAAAGATCGTATTTGCGTTACCTTTTTTTTTTTTTAGCCTTGTATCTCTGTCTTGTCACAAGCATTTATGTTATCATATGCGCCCACTTTTTTTTTTTTTTTACTGTAATCGCCGCCGCAGGTGGCTGCACACTCTTTTCTTAATCAGATAGCGCCTAGGTTCTACAAAGCATCGTATTGTGTAATATATGTTTTCAGTTACCTAATATTCAACCTAACCCTTTCGTAGAACACGCTAAGCTGTACTAAGGACACTAATCCCTTGAAAAACGTGGGGGAGCAGCAATATGTTATTTTTTGACATAAGTTTGTACTCTCATAATGTTTACACTAAAGACTAACCCTAGATCAGCCACTACATACTATACTAAGCTGGTTGTACACAAAGTGGTTAAATAAACTCCACACTAATCTGTAGGAATCTGCTAGTCAGATACCCCAAACATACTACATCATTGTAAACCCATTCCGTCATTCCCATTGCAGGAGAAGGGCATGAAACAGAAAAAGGAACGCACCCAGAAAGAGAAAGAAAGCCAGATGCAAGCCATCAATACAGTTTATTATTCGATGCGGTGCCAAAAGTAGCAAAAACAAGCTTACGTTAAGTCATTGTTTTTTGTTTTGTTATCATATGGCGACTAAAACGTGCAAAATAAAGCAACAGCGGCAATGTATCGTCATCAAAGAATTGCACACATCTGTTCCGGGTATTTTCCTTATGGTTGGTATTAACCCTTTATCTACTTTTGATTTCCCAAACAAAAGATTTCGAAAAAAAAAAAAAAAAGCTAGATCTGTGGATAGCAATATTCGCTCTAACTGTTTGTCCTGCTTGGTTACAAAGAAATTACTTTTTTCTCTCTTTTCATCTTTAACTTTATTTCTATATACGCGAGTTGAGTTTGATAAATGGTTCTCATCAATTATTAGATGATAATGCATGTTATCGTTTGCTTCTGTCTACCTTTTAAAAAATTAAGATTCTTTTTTCTTCTCTTTGATAGATCCTGCTGACTCAGACAATTGGCGTTCTATCTCACAGATCAGTGTTGGTACCACAATCAATGATAATCATTGCTAATTGTAGCCCAAGACTACTTGATAAGCTATATTTCTAACACAAAGACTGTATTTTTTATTATTATTGACGTTAATTTTATAAAATATTGTCGTAAAATAAAAAAAAATATTTTCGTAAAAAGACGACAAAGAAAAATACGTTTGAATAAAGCGAC